CATATAGTGTCCTCCTCTGGCCTTCACAGTGGACGTGTGTGTGTGTGTGTGTGTATGCGCACACACACATATGCACAGATGTACATGTGTGTATTACACACACACAATTGTCACAGAATTGTACCGTCATCACTGCTATCTAGTTGAGCGTATTACTTTCCTGCTCCTATCCTTAAGCAACCACTAACAGAACCTCTCTCTATAGACTTAACCTGGTCTGCCTATTTCAGAGGGCACTATCTGTATGGCTCTCTGTGACTGGCATCTTCTGCTTGATGTAGCTGTTATATGGTTCTTCCTTCTTGTAGCTTCTATCAGTTTGTCACTTCTTCTTGCCAAGTAAGATTCCATCACAAAACATACCTCCTTTTGTTTATGCATTCTGCAGTTGGTGGATATTTGGGCTCTCCCACTTTCTGTTGCATGAGTAACACTCCTGAAAATATCACGTTTTTTTGTGGGGGTTTATGTCATCCTATATCTTGGGATATACGTAGGATCAGGATGGCTGGGTTAGATGTCACTGTTTACCTGTTGAGGATGCCAGATGGTTTTGAAAAGCAGGTGCTGTTTTGTATCTTGCTGGCAGCATGATTGTTCCATCTGAGTGATCCCTTGTGCTGGCAGCATGAGTAATAACAACACACAGCTATTCTGTGTGTCATCACAGTAGGGGGTGAGGCTGGGGGCATCTCTCCTTTGCTTATGGCCATTTGCATATCTCCTGAAAAACAAAAAAAGGGCCTATTTGGATCTTCTACCCACATTTAAAGTTGAGCTGCCTTTTTTATTACCAAGTTATAAGTTTTTAAAATTATACTGTAGGTGTATACTGTCAGCTATACAATATGCAACTTTGTAAACGTAGACTTGTTTTTGAACTCTTGGATCTATTCCATTGTCTTTATGTATCTATATCCATGGTAGCACCCACTGTTTGCCAGTTTGTTCAAGACTTACTGTTACTATGATTGCCGTACGGTTTACATGTCTCATTTAAGCAGAGAATCATCATACATAACTTACTACACTTATTACTGTAGTCACATTTTACCTTCATTTAAATTAATATCTTACCAATCACACAAAATAGTAGATTTCTTGATGAAATTTTCATACATGTGTAGCATGCCTTCTGCTCCTGTTTGTACCCCAGCACTTTTGCTTGTCCCAGTTCCCTTTCCCCTCCCCCTCTCCTTCCCCTTTCCCCTCCCCCTTTCCACTGATCCTTTTCACCTCTCAAAGAGTCCCCTTCTGCTTTCATGTCCTGTGTGTATGTGTGTGTGTGTATGTATATGTTTGTAAGTGTGTCTAAGTGAATGTGTGTGTATGTGTGAGTGTATGTATGAGTGAGTGTGTGTGTTTATGTGTATGTGTGTGAGTGTGTGTGTATGTGTGAGTATGTGTGTGTATGAGTGTATGTTTGTGTGTGTATGTGAGTGTGTGTGTGTGCGTGTGTGGTTCAGTGAGACATGATACCTGCCTTTCTCCTTTCTCTTCCATCTCCTGTTCAGCTACTCTAGACCCTGTCCTCTCTCCCATAGCCCCATTTCTCATAAAAAAAATTTTAAAACTGCGTCCTCTAACTTTGCTCTTTTCCAAGATGATTTTAACCATTCTTTATGCTGAAACCTGTGGCTTAATTTTAGGAATCTGGTCATTTTAACAGAATCAAATCTCCCGCCCCACTACCATGACACCTTTTATTTACTTATGTTGCCTTTAATCTTGTTGGACAATATTCTATAGTTTTAGGCATATTAAGTTTTGAATTTCCTTGGTTAAGTTTATTTCTAAATATTCTTTTTATTTTGCTTTTGTGTTTGAGACTTGAGCTTATCAGCCTCCTGCCTCAGCCTGAGGAGTAATGAGATTGTACGTGTGTACTTTCTCAGTAGCTATTGTTCTGATGCTATTGTAAGTGGGAGTGTCTTCTTTTAATTTAGCTTTTCTTTAAATAGATACATGATTGTTAATTTGGTATATTGCTCTAGTGTCCTGTAGTCTTATACTTAATATTTCTAGTAAGTTTTCAGTAGATTCTTTTGGATTTTCATATACAGCATTGCATTGCCTCTTTTCTATTTCAGATGCTGTATATTTTGTTTTGTTGCTGTTTCCTTGGGTGGCACCCAGACATCTTGTCTCTTCTGTGTTCTTCTATTTCCTTTTTCAGATCTTTCATTGTTATTGTTGTTTTTGTTTTCACTCTTATTTAGTAAATTTTGACAGGATTATTGTAATTATAATATCCCCACCCAAACTTTATTTCTCATTTTAAAGCAATAAAAATGGAAATGGTAAACTGCTTTACTTGTTGATATCGGCCATTGCCCCATATACTCTGATTTCATTTCTTTATCTACAGTTCTGAAGTTCTCTACCAGTTGTCCAAAATCATGTGACTTTGTTAGTTTGTGGCATCATTGGTGTTGCATGCAGAGCCTGGTGCATGCTACGTAAGCAGGCACCACTGTTCGATGACCCCAGCAACACCTGAGTTTTACTCATAATTTGTGCCTTACCTTTGTAAGCTTGTCCCCTGGAGTTAATCATTGCTTGCTTGCTTCCTCCCTTCCTTCCTTCCTCCCTTCCTTCCTTCCTTCCTTCCTTCCTTCCTTCCTCCCTCCCTTCCTTCCTCCCTTCCTTCCTTCCTTCCTTCCTCCCTCCCTTCCTTCCTCCCTCCCTTCCTTCCTCCCTTCCTTCCTTCCTCCCTCCCTCCCTTCCTCCCTTCCTCCCTCCCTCCCTCCCTCCCTCCCTCCCTTCCTTCCTTCCTTCCTTCTCCTCCTCCTTCTTTCCTTTCTTTGTTGGCTAGAAGAACCCTTGCCATTGTCATCCCTGTATCCCCACTATATTTTTGAAGTTCAATATCTTTCATCGATTCTTCCTGAAATCTACTGAATTCCTTTTGGAGTGATCACTATGTTAATATTTGCATCATTTATTTCTCAGTGCCATTTTACATGTCCCCAACATGCACATTAACAATAAATAAACATAAAAAGCAATTTTTAAAAACCTGAGCAAAAACATTTTCTTAGGGAAATTTATAAAACCTAAAAGAAAATGCAGTGTATCACTGGTGTGGTGGTGCATGCCTTTAATCCCAGCCTTTAAGAGGCAGTGACAAAGGAATGTCCATGAGTTTGAGGCCAGCGTATACTACATTGTGAGTTACAGGCTATCTAGGCTACACAGTAGGCTCCTGTTTCAAACAAATTGTTCTGTATTGGTTGTTATTTGCAGTTTTCATTGTCAGCCTTGTAGACTATGAACTTTTGCTAGAAGCAGAAGCAGAGGTCCCGACTCTTCAGTATAACAGAATAGAGACATCTGGGTCACACAAAAGTTTTGTACATTTTCTTTTGAGGTCCTAGCTGAAACATTTTTGAGCAAGAACTTTTACAATCGGTATTATTTAACAAAAAGGACTTTTAGCTACAGACTTCTTAATACTGTATCTTAAGGAATTCATTGGAAACATACTTAGACAAGAAACGTATCCATTTTGGCAAGAGTGAAATGACTCTAAATACTTGCCATGTTGACAAAAGTCAACATGAGATTTCCATTGCTACACAGTGTTCAGCAGATAGATAGTCTAAACTCCACCTGTGGTTCCCTCCACCTCTCTACCTCCTCTTACTGCAGATCTGGGCTTTTTACATTAGTTTCCCAGTCTCAGGGCACTAGAGGCCAGGAGATAAACATGCTTGCTACATGAAAGAAGTAACAAGAGTCATAAATTGGCTTGAACTTTTTTGAATGATTTTGTGTTAGGAGAAAATTCAATTTTGCCACTAACTATGAACAGTTATCCCTGATGCAGCGTCATTCATTCATTGTCCCCAGCAGTGACCTCAGTGTGGGGACTGCTGTCCTATCAGGGAACACAGTGTGGCACTGAGAAGGCAAAGGCAATTAATTATAATACAACGTGATATTCTAATGAAGATGTGTGTAAATATGGAGCTGTATAGGAGGAGAGGACTGTGCTCACATAAAAGAGCAGTGAGGAAGGAGAGGGAAGCAAGGATCTGGATTGGGTTTTAGACGTTCACCAGGTCAGAGTGTGGGAGTTCTGGGCAGAGGGCACAGCATATGTATGGGATGGAAGCATGGGAGGATTAGGAAGTGTTTGCTTATACCCATGCTATTAGGAGTGTCTGCAACAGGACTAGGATGGTAGGTTATGGCCAGATTATTAAATGCCTTATGCACCATGCCTTGCAAATCTGGTTTGAGATGCCAGTCTCAGGTCAAGTCGCAAGAGAGTTGCCTCAGAGATTAAGGCAAGGCTACCTCCTATCAAGCCATTGACTTTGGGTGATATGCTGTGCTATCACATAGAAATATTTTCCATCTCCTTTCTCATTTCTTTACTCAATATAGTTGGGAAAAAATAACACCTTGCCTTTGTGTAAACTGAATTGAAACAGTAATGGTTTGGGGATTTGAGAGGTGAGACTTTTCTTAAGTGGTATTGAATGCGATGCTGGAGAGATGGCACAGAGCTCAGAGTACGTATTTCTCTCACAGAGGATCTGGGCTCAGTTCCCAGCACCCATATGGTGGCTCATAACCATCTGTAGCTCCAGGTCTTAGGGATACCCATGCCCTCTTCTAGTCTCCTCAGGTACCAGGCATGCATGAGGTACACATACGCATTCAGACAAAACGCTAAAACATATGAAATAAAAGTAAACAAATCTTTTTAAAAGGTATTGAATTCCAGTTGTCACATATGCCTGTAATTTCAGTGCTCAATAAACACAGGCAGGAGGATTATGATTTTTTGAGTTCAGCGTGGGTGAGATACATAATAATAAATTTGAAGCCAACCTGAACTATATAGGGAGGGAGACTCTGTCTCAAGCAAAAATAGTGAAATGGTTTTAAAAGGATGGTTTTGTCTTAATAAGTAATACTTTTAAAAAAGGTTTCTTCAACTGGAAAGCATTTATAATTTTCTGAAATGTTTATTTTTCTTTGCTTTTTAGTGGACAGAAGACTGCAGAAAATCAACTTATCCTCCTTCTGGACCAACGTGAGTGAACCCAGATGATCAAGCCATTGTCCTGTGCACATCCTGTGTTCTTTATAATAGTCTTCTAGAAATAATAGTAGTAGTAAAAGAAACCTAAGCCATATCTTCCACCTGGAGACAAGTTTGGTTTCCTTATGTGAGTGTCTTATGTATATGACTAAGGCAGATATGAAGGTAATCTGATTAAAATGTCTATTTCTTGCCTGTGAAACTAATAGGAAAGCAAAGAATTCCTGCTCATCACCAAACTACTCTGTCTCCTAAGGAGTATTTTTTGCTCTATGACAAACAGCTTGTATCACACCCACTGAGCTATGATACTATGTGAAGCCTGGATATAAGCCTTCAGACTGCATTGGAGAATATAAAGGACCTGAGTATGAAATAAACCTTGACTTGATAAAGTTTTCAGGCAAAAGAAGATCAAAAACCCTAAGGCAAGACTGAAGCTACGTTTTATTTTAGTCTAACATTTTTAGTTCACATTTTCATCTTTCCAAATCTTAGTGATGGAGTAAGCCTCAGAAATATGCGATTCTAGGCAAGAGGCCCAGAGGGAACAGCATGCAGGAAGAAGGAAGGAAAGGTGCAGGGAACCGCTGTCTTTGGCCCTGGGCCTTCCCTCTTTCTGCAAGTACACTGCTGGGGCGGAAGACACTGAGTGCAGCTGAGACTTTCGAGTTTTGTAATGTTACAAGTTCCAACCAGCCTTTTTCTTTTTTTTTTTTTTTTGTTTTTTTTTTTTTTGGTTTTTTCAAGACAGGGTTTCTCTGTATAGCCCTGGCTGTCCTGGAACTCACTCTGTAGACCAGGCTGGCCTTGAACTCAGAAATCCGCCTGCCTCTGCCTCCCAAGTGCTGGGATTAAAGGCGTGCGCCACCATCGCCCGGCTAACCAGCCTTTTTCTTAATACGTGTATTAGGAATACATGTAACCTCTGCCAGTACCCTTGGGAGACTGGAGTGTCACCAAGTGTCCATCCCTGTAAGCACTCCATCCCTGTAAGCGTTCCTGATGCTCACTGATTGCTTGCGTCTGTTGTGTTGTTTGTTCATGTGTGTGTTCCATCCTTTGCATTAGATTGCAAACCACCTTGGAGCCGTGCAGGCTTAGGCTTATGGTCACTGCAATGGTCTGGGCATAGGGAATACTAAGTTTCAGATGACGCTGTGATATTGTTTGTAGTAAAGTAGAAAATTACCCTCTGCCAATTCCCACTGATGGAGTGTCAGTAGCTGTTGGTTAAGAGGAACTGTGATTACCCGACTTACCTCTAGTCACTCCCCTTGTGTGAAGATTGAGGAGTCCAACTTCAGGAGAAGAGCTTCTTCTCCACCACTACGAATGTCATCTTGGCCTTCATTGCCTTCCTGATTTCCTGATTGTGACTCCTGGCTGGTCTTACTGCCCAATTCACTGAACATTTAATAAGTACTTTCTGTACTAAAGGCATTTTTCCCTATTGTCTTTTAAATGTTATATATATACACACACACACACACACACACACATATATATGTATATATGTGACTATATTTCATTATGAACTGTAAACCTTCCTTGACTAAGCATAATAGAGTTTGTTACTGTGTGTGTGTGTGTGTGTGCATGCGCGCGCGCACGCGCATGTCCATACCTAGATGCTCTGTGTTTTTTCTCTTTGCTTGCTATTTCTACTGTCATTTCTTCCTGTTTCACTATCTCCTTCTTCCACACTGAAGTCCTCTGCCTTATTCCTAACTGTTTCTCTTCTGAACTGTACAGCAACAACTCTTGACACCTGGGAGATAAGAATGACATTCATGGGCAGTGGTGGCGCACACCTTTGATCCAGCACTTGGGAGGCAGAGGTGTCTACCTTATGCGGGTAGAGAAGATTACAGGAAATATGTAGAAAGTCCTTAGCATTCGTGAGCAATCGAGATTTCCATAAGAGGTTTTGCTACTTTACCATAAGCAGTGCTGAACTATCATGTCAATTTGAGACGTGGTGGCATATGCTAAGTCCAGCCATTGCAATCCTAATGATATGGGAACCCTCCTGGCTTTCCAGGTGGCTTGTAAACTAGTCCAAGTGACACAATGCGCATGTGCACAAATAGAGAACAGGTGCAAAGCAGCTAATGAGCAGCAGAAGAAATGCTTGATGGGATGCCAGTGGCTGCAGGGAGATGTTGCTGTCAGTTCCTGGACATCTGCATTGATGTGACTGGTCAGGCCAGATGAACAGGTGTCCCTTGCCTCTTTCCTCCCTCGCATTTGCTGCTGCATGCCACCAAGAACCATGGATTTGGTTGAAAAGGATGACCTCATAGGACTGTGAAGGCACTCAGTAATTAAAGGTACATGAATGTCATTCTTTTTTTTTTCTTTCTTCTTTTCCCTCGAGACAGGGTTTCTTTGTATAGCCCTGGCTATCCTGGAACTCACTCTGTAGACCAGGCTGGCCTCGAACTTAGAAATCCTCCTGCCTCTGCCTCCCAAGTTCTGGGATTGAAGGCGTGCGCCACCACTGCCTGACGGAGGTACAGTTCTTAAATAAAAGAATCTTTTAGAAAAGATATTTTACGTGAGAGAAAATATAAGATTAAATTAAGTTTTAATTATTAGAACAACTTTTTAAATCAAATTAACCAGTTCTCAAAAAACTCTGATTAGGGGAGGTTTTATTATCAGGGTTTCCTGTCTTTTTAGTCCCACAAAAGTTTGATCCTCTCTGATAATGATCTTCTTACCTCTCTGTTTCCTCTGTCAAATGCTTCCACCTGTCCGATACTCAGCTGAAACCGACTCAGGAGTTTATGGAAGATGCCCAGGATGCACGGGTTCTCTTAGATACTGAGAAGGGAGGGTCTGGTGGGGATTCATAGGTAAAGCACTAGTAACCAACACGCATCGCTGCAAGAGCTTAGCACTTCATTACTGCAACTAATGTGGCAATCCAAATGCCCAGCTTGGAGGAAGGAAAGCTGTAATTCCATCAGTCCATAAGTGCGGTACCAGATTACTAAACTATGGGATACAATTTTACACGAGGAATATGATTAGTTTTTAAAAAGGAGGAGGAGCAAGAAGAATTGTTATGACGACAAGATCCCCCTCTCACCACAAAGACTATATAGTCTTCATGTAGGTATCAGCTTCTAAGGAACTGAGGAGCTTGAAAAGAACAATGAAATTGATTGATTGTTTAAATGTATTTTCCAAACTTGAGTGCATTTCTCTCTGCGTCTAAGTCATAACAGAGATGGGTGCTGGCTTACAGTTTCATAAAGCCTTACACATGCACCTGGATCCCAAGCTCGGCAACATTATTTAAAGAACCACATATCACAGTAGTAAATTATCCAGAGTGTCCCAAAAATGGCTGTCAGGAAATAACCCATCCCTGGCTATAAATATAAGCTTAGATGATCTGTTAAGAGCCAGGTAATGCTGCAGCACACACCAGTATGTACCCTATACTTTTCTCAAAGTAATAAATGGTTCAAGCGATAGATGTTTTTCGATTTAGTTTTTAATTTGATAAATCACCGAATGCCACACCCCTGAAACCTATTTCAGTTTGTTTAAATGTATGAGAGAAGGACCTGGTGTGGTGGCACATGCCTGTGGTCCCAGCACTTGGTCAGAGCCGGAAGGATTTGAGGGTCCTGAATTCAAGGCTATCCTTGACCTACATAAAGATGAAGGCCAACTTGGGCTACATGAGGCCTTGTCTCAAACTCAGCTCCCAAAATGGGCCCAAAAAATGAAGTTGCTGTAGCAACAGAAGCAGCTGTAGAGTTTGTACACCAGAAGTGTGGCCACCCCATTAATAATGGGTAGACATTGCTTCACCCCCATAGCAGAGATTACTGAGTGTGTGCGTAGGAAATTGAGAATGTTCATGACAGAATAGACAGCCAAGAGTGCACAGGAGTATTGGGAAAGATGAATTTGCCTTGGAGAATCAGAGGCCATCATGGGAAGCTTGTATTGTTACCACTCTGGGCTTACAAGGGGTCCTCACTGAAGCCATAAAATTTGGCAGTGGTGTTAGACTGACTGACAAAGCACTCCAGACTAGAAAACCAAGTGCTGAAGTGTCCTAGTGTCTAGATGCTCTCCTGTTCAGGGCCTAAACTAAATTGTTACAGATATTTAGGATAAAAACAAAAGTATGTATTTTCTGTCATCAATATTTTAAGTTGTAGCCCCTGAGCCACAGTCGACTCACATATCAGCAAGTCATATTAACCTTCCAGACCTAGTAGGTACATTGTTTTCTTGTTTGTTCATTTGTTTGGTTTGGTTTTTGTGGCGGGGGCGGGGTTGGAGCCAGGGTCTCACAGTGTAGACCAGCATCTTGAGTACTGGGATTCCTATGGCAGGCTCAGAATGTAGAATTCTATTCTGTGATTTCTGAGTCTTGTTTCAAATTGGATGTGCAAAAGAGGGCTGGAGCACGAGTGCAAACTCTAATTTTTTTGCAGATTTTGCTTTGAGTAACCAACTTCTATACTGTTGCTACGACTATGTAGCTAATCTCTCCTTTCAGCTCTATAACCCTCCTCCTAAAAGTCACTTCTTCATTTCAAGATGGTGCACTCCCTCTCATTGCAGCTATAGAGGACCAGTTCCGTGGTACACCATAAATCTTGATTTACCACCCTACAAAAGATGGCATGAATTATTGGCTCAAAAGGCACCAGTGGTATGTTATGTGTTAACTCTTCTTATTCTGACTTTATGAAATATAATTCTGCTTTTTAAAAACAATTCTGCTTTTTAAGTCACATATGGAAGGCCACACCCATAATCCAAGCACTTGGGAAGACTGTGGCAGGCCAAGTGTTTGGAGGTTAGGGTCCAGCCTGATCTACATAATGAGTCCCAAAGCAGCCTCAGCTATAGTGAGACCCTGTCTCAAAAATGCTACAAAGGGAGATAGAAAGATGGGTTGTCACTTGAGACCACTTGAGGGCACCCAGCATCAGTTCACAGCACCATAGGGTGGCTCACAATCACCTGTAACCCTAGTTCAGTGGACTTTGATGCACATGGTACATATACATGATACTCATACAAAATAAAAATTATCTTCTTTAAATTTTACTACTGAAAGTTAAAGGTATATATTTGATTCTCTTCCACTATGTATAGTAATTGATAGAAAAAAATATGTCATTTCCCTTTTTGTAAGTTTGGGGCATAGAATTTGTCTTTCCTTCCCTTTGTACTATCTTCCTTCATCTGAATAATTGAGAAGCAATGTTACTTTAAAGACAAAATAGTGTTCAAAAACTCATTGAAATACTTTCAGACTGTGCTGTTTTGTTACATATTTTGAGTAAGTCAGATCTACATTGTACTTATGGTGGCAATATGGATCTTAAATCTCAGTACTTTATGTATTCTTAGTGTTTTATTTATTTTTCAGTTGAGGATTTTAATGAATTCCCTAACGAACTTAGTGAATGCATTTGTGCCAAGTGGAAAAATAATGCAGATCGTGGATCAGAAGTTGGTAAGAGACGTTTCCTTCAGTTAATTTTAAGGATACATATATAAACACATGGACATGGAGAGTTAAAAAAAAATTGTGCCTGGGTGGAAAAACATTGAAGCAGCAACCACAGGGCCTACCTGGGTCTACACTAGGTCCTCACAGCCATGGGCAAATACACAGATTTCATCAGGAGCGTGGCATTCTGAGCTCTTCTAGTTTGGTATACAGTTTCACTACTGAAAACCTAGTTTCCTTTCCCTTAAGAATATAGCTCAATGGTAGAGCACCATCATAAATATCTTGGAAGCCCCAGATTTGATCCCAGCATGAGAAAGAAAAGGTTTAGGCCTTAAATTAACTCGTTACAAATAATTCAGGAAACTCAGAGACTTCTCTAAAGACTAACTCTGTATTCTATGGAGTCCATTGGTACCTGTGACCCTTGAAACTCAATTGTGTTGAATGTTTCTTGTAGCTAGGCAATCACTAAATCATTTCCTTCTCTGACCCCCCAGTCCTGCAGGAAGACTACAGTTCTTGATACCTTTAAATATAGGTGGTGCCCTAGTAGAAAACCTTTTTTTCTAAGACTGGATAAGCAAAGCAGATCCTCCTCCTAACCAGCAAGCCTTTTGGGTCATGCTTACATTCTCACCTCTTTACCAAAGTTATCAAATGCATTAAACGTGCAGAGTCACCCAGAATACAAGTTGGTAGGAAGTAAAGGGAAGTGAGTCCTCACATGTCCAGTCCAAAACCCTCCTCTACTCTAAATGTCAGGACATAGCAGGGCAGTTTATGATGCCGTGGTTTAAAATCTGAGGTGCAGGGTTTGATGCCTTGAAATCACTGCATTTTAAGGATGCATCAGCCATGTACCTATGAAACCTTAGTTTTCTCATTTGGAAGGATACTATTTACTAATGATATTTATTTCATATGGTGTCTGTGAGGACTATGGCATCTCACTGTCTGTAAAGTATCATGCTTAACATTTGTCACTAAGTTGTAGTTGATAAATTGGCTGAAACACTTCACTCCCACTGCCTTCAGTTCACAGGGAAACAGACAATGCACTTAGTGAGGTCACTTTGTGCAGATGGTGAAACAGCGTATTGGAGCGCCAAGATAGCTCAGTGCCAAGCCAGATGATCTGAGGTCCATCAGCAGAACCTTCATAGTGGAAGGAGCAAAGCAGCACTTGCAGGTTGTCCTCTAACCTCCCACACACCTTATGACGTGTGTGTGTGTGCATATAACCCATTCACAAAATATGTAAGCAAATAAAGTAAGAAGAGGACTTTTTAACCACGTTGTCTTAGCGGGAGAATATAAACTGTGCTCTCAGCATTTGTGCTTAGCTGAGGCTGAGAAAAAGATACAGTGCCCATCACTGAATTTGCTCATGGGCTGTGTGCTCATTAAATAGAAATGTGCAACTTTGGGCTAGCCACTAGCAGTGACAGACAGTTCTGTGAAACGGTACAGTACTAGTCGTTGCTGAGTGTTGCCAGTAGCTAAAGATTGAAGAAGTGAAACTTTGCTCATTGTGTTGATAGAGGGTCCCCTTAAGTCATGCAGGTAGAATGACTCCAGTCCCCTTCTCTTTGGGGACTGGGACAAAGATCAGGAGGAAAATAAAATCTAAGAATCACAGGTTTTGTAGGAGTCCCAACACCAAGCATTCTATAGAATCTTTTAGGAATACATGACGTAAATGATTTAAAGATAACGTACTGCATAAAAGAGTTCTAGTCATCGACAGTGTCCCTTGGTTTCTTTCTTTTTAGCCTGGTCTGATTGGCAGCCTTCCTGGCCCTTTTGGAGAGGAAATGAGGGGAATTGCAGATGTTACTGGGATTCCTCTAGGTAAAGTTCACTTTGCAATGCTTAAAACATTTAATAAAACTCTGTGACATAATTGTGTTGAAGTTGGATGCGAATGCACTACATATAATGAAATGCACAAACACTAAATATAAACAGGTCATTGAAGGTTTACACATGCTCCATGCATGTGTGTCCTACTCATAGAAGGTGAAGGAAATTCCAGTCCTCCAAAATGCTTCATCTTCCCATTCACAGACAACTGTGCCTCCATGAGTAACCCTCTTGTGCCTTCCCCATGTTAAAAATAAAACTGAGCATTTGAATTGCAGTACTCTCTTAACCAGGTCTCTCTATCATTCCAGGTTCTTGACTATATGGTTGGTTTGCAGACTTTGCTTATTAACAATCGGGCCGTTATTGATGTGTGTGTGTGTGTGTGTGTGTATGCATGCATTCTTGCACTCTTGCACATATTTCTTTAATAGATACATACATTAATTTCTCTTGAACTGCACTTTTGAGTCACAGGGTAGCTAGCAATGTACTCAGCTTTGTAAATTCTTCAGGGCAATTTCTTAAAATGAACAGAATTATTGACAGCATTGCATGAGAAATTAAATTTTCTCACATTAACACTACATCTTCCTGATGAGTTACTGATTTTTTTTTTTCAGTTTGACTTTTTCTGTATGCTTCAATTTTGGGGAAGGGTAAAACACTAGTCAAGCTTTCTTCATATATTTCTAATTGATAAGTCACTGCTATGTAACGGGGCTGGTCTCCGTTTTGGGGTCCTGCTCCTGCGTGAAGGGTAGCGGGATTCTAGGCATGCATAACCTCGCTCAGCTCTTCACAGTTTTGACTTTCAGTTTTTCAGTTTGTATCATTTATTGGAAAAGGTTTTGCTCACTAATCTAAAACCAACCAAAATGATCAAGTCAGCATTTTATGTAACCGGCAGTGCTTTTCACAGGAGATCTGATGGAAATTTTCTGGTTTTTTTTGCAGCAGAGTTGGCTAGTGCTTTTGTTTGTTTGTTTTGCTGCACTAAACAATGTATTTTAAGGGGCAGCAAGATGGATCACCAAGCACAGGGTGTGTTCATCAGCCTTACAACTGAGTTCTACATTCCTGGCTGGGACACACATTTTCCTTCTCATCACCACACGTGCAAAGTGGCAAACTTACACACACAAACACATGTATGTGCACACATGAATAAATGCACATTTAAATAAACACAAAATATTGCAACTACTGGGTAGTGGTGGTGCACACTTTTAGTTCCAGTACTTGGGAGGCAGAGGAAGCAGATCTCTGAGTTTGAACTAGCCTGGTTTATAGAATAAGTTAGTTCCAGGGCAGCCAGGGCTACACAGAGAAACCCTGTCTCAAAAAAACAAAACAAAATAAAAAACAACAGCAGAACCTAACTGAAAACCAATTTTAAAAGATAACATACTGGAAATACATACTTGTCATCTACATGAGAACAAAGTCTTATTATATACAGAGCTATCACAATTACTAAATATAAATAACTCTAGAGAAAAATAGATTAATAGTTCAGGATAAGACTGAGATTCATCAAAGCATAAGTAAACAGAAAATAAACTAGGCTGAGGTAAAAATGCATGCTAAGCACAGAATGCTAGCATTTAACAAGACAGAGAAAAGCATGCTGCACACCTTTAGATTAAAAGGGGAGTGGCATTTTCCTTTAATGTCATGGTTGTTGACATTAGCAAAACACTTCCCTGTTTTTGTCCCCACAGGAGAGATTATTTCATTCAACATTTTCTATGAATTTTTTACCATGTGTACATCAATCATAACTGAAGATGAGAAAGGTAATCTGTAGAATGCATCATACAATATATATTTTTTAGAATAAGTTATAACATGTGCTAACTAAGCCTGCTATTTCATTTGTGTGTCTGTTGTATATCATTTAGTATATCCTGGTAAATTCTTAAAAGTGCATTGAAAATTAGCCTTATTTTAAGACTACTAAGAGTGCTTATTAAACTTTAAATAGACGTGTGGAAGATGTGGAAGAAGTGTTCTAGACTCGAAACATTCTTCTTACAAAGATCATTTTAAGTGTATGAGTGTTTGCTTAAATGTGTTGTATGTGTACCACATGCAAACTCCCGAAGGCTGCAGAGGTCATTGAAGCCCTCACAACCGCAGTTGCAGACACTTATAAACGGCCATGTGGGTGCTGGGAACTAAACCTGTGCTGTCACCAAGAGCGGCACAGTGCTCTGAGCCACTGAGCCACCCCTCCAGCCCCACAGAAACATTCATGTTTTCTCCATAGTACATTTGTCCCCACCTGTATAGTAAATAGAAGTCCTCACAAGGGTCCTTTGTTACCTGTGCAGAGGCAGTGTCTTGGTCACTATTCTATTGCTGTGAAGAGGCCATGACCAAGGTAGCTCTTATAAAATAAATATTTAATTGGGACTTGTTTCCACTTTGAGAAGCTTAGTCCAGTATCATCATCGTGCTTGGCAGCAGGCTCAGCAGGCAGGAAAACATGGTGCTGGAGAAATAGCTGAGAGCTTCAGATACAGAGAGAGAGAGAAAGAGAGAGAAAATGAACAAGAACCTGGCCCTGGTGTGGGCGCTTTGAAAACTCATAGCCCATCCCCAGTGACACACTTCCTCCAACAAGGCCACACCTAATACTTCTCAAATAGTGCCACTCCCTGATGACTAAGCATCCAAATACTTGGGGCTGTGGAGGCCATTCTTATTCAAGCCACCGCAGGCAGTGACAGATGTTTTTCTGGAGACCCAGAACAAACAGTGTCTCATAATTTCCCTGCCAACAAGCACTGTGTATGAGAGGTTCACTTTCCTATATTTTCCTTCTGGCTGGCCACCAAGACACATGGCACAAGGTGACTTCGTTCACCCTGACTATTAACTTATACCTAATACTTGAGATGTCCATCTATAAGTAGCAGTCAAGGACCTGGGTAAGTCATATTTTGAGGTTATGTCCTGGTAGAATAGCTGTGTAGTTGCCCAGGGAATAACCATTGATTTGTTTCCATATCTTATCTAGAATCCTCTAACCTCAGTTATTAGACACTGTGATATCCAACGTGTGATAGTAATACCAGTTTGAACTTGTTAAGGCTTTTTCTGGCTGCCTGGCTTCTTAATTATTATACATTGCTTGGTAAAACAGTTGTGAATGTAAATATTCATATTTACCTGTATCCATCTGTATTAAGAATCCGTTGTATTTTATCTTAACTGTGGATGCATGTCTGTGTGGCTTTCTTTTTAATAGGTCATTTACTACATGGAAGAAACATGGATTTTGGAATATTTCTTGGGTAAGCAAGCAATTTGGCATACTTTCATAAGAAGCATAGACTGTAGTATTACCTTGATGAAAAGTAAGTGCCCCTCACGTGCAGAAGATGACTGGATTCTTTAGTGTTAGAAAGGTAGACACACAGGGTACACTTCTCAGTCCCTTAGGAGGTGTATCTCAGAAGTTGCACTTAGTGAACAGAAATTCGGACCATGCTTGAAGGGCACAGATGCTTATTTTCAGTTATTGCTTTAGAGAAGTCTGTCATCTTGACCTTAATGAAAAAATGATGGCTTTTTAATTAGAGGTCTTCATTTGAATCTTGGTCTGACTATTTATGTGACCAGGGTTAATCAGCTTTTCTGAGCATCAAGTTTTACCCCCTGGAAAAAGGAAGGAACAACCCTGATTTGGATGAAGAAAAGTTTATTCTGGCTTATGATTCATAGGTTTCAGTCCATGGTCAACTGGCTCTTCTATTTCTAAGGCTAATAAGGCCTTAGAGCATGTTGGTTGGAGCAGGTATCAGAGGAGTCTGCTTACCTCATCATGAGAGATGCAGTAAAGACAGTGTAGCCTCCAAGGGTATACATAAAGGACCCTGCTTCCCACCCTAAGTTGGCGTTGTCTCCTAATCATCCTTCAGCTTATTAACCCATCAGTGGGTTTACTCTAATCACTCCAGAGCCTTACCTCTGAGCATCAGTGCTCCGAGGACTGGGCCTGTAGCATTTCAAATCCTAACCACAGCACACTCATCAGGGGCTTGTTAAGGTCTATCCTAAGTGACCAGGGAGAAAGAGCACCTGGAAACTAGACATAGTGTCTCAGGCCTGCAATTCCAGCCCTTGGAAGGTTGAGGCAGGAGGATTACAAGTTTGAAGCCATCTTAGATTCCGTACCAAGACTCAGTAACAAACATACAGCATCTATGTAATGCTGGACTTTCACCTTCGTCTTTGTCTTTAATGTCAGCAACATTTTTCTTTTTTAGGTGGAATATAAATAATAACACTTGGGTTGTCACAGAACAGTTAAAGCCCTTAACAGTGAATTTGGACTTCCAAAGAAACAATAAGACTGTTTTCAAGGCTACAAGTTTTGCTGGATATGTGGGCATGTTGACAGGAATCAAACCAGTAAGAAATATGTAACTTTATAAACAGTTTTGTGTCCTGGTTTCACTCTCTGGGAGTCAAAAAAAAAAAATGAGGACATAAAAGAATATGCAGGTAGGCATGATGGCACGCTTCGTCAATCCTAAAACTTTGGAGGGAGATGTCAGTGAGTTCAAGGCCATTCTGGTCTACATAGTTATGTCCAGACCAGCTGGGGCTGCACACTGAGACTTGTGTCAGCAGAGTTTGAAGCCCTACATGATTCCCTTGTCCTTGTCCCTTTTGTAACTATAAGACTCCACGACACAGAAAAATAGAAAGGATCTTGTGTCTGCGCTCATTTGAAGATAAAAAGCATGTGACTGGCTCTCAAGGTCTCAAAGTGAAAGTGGGTGTCAGGCTTGGGTCTATGTTCACTTAGACCAGTCACAATCAGTTCACGACATTTTGCATTTCATTGCTTTTATGAAATGTGTAGCCATTAACTTCCTAACTCATATCACATTCCCCAGTAGACAGTTCAGATCGTTGTATACTACAGAGATGGGGCCTTTCAGAGCCCGCTGACGTTTCTGACTGCATTGTTTTGTCTTTTTCTCAGGGACTGTTTAGTCTTACACTTAATGAACGTTTCAGTATAAATGGTGGTTATCTAGGTGAGTGGAAGGTCTGGAAATGCAAATGGGAATCTCAGTCTTTGTAAGGGAGGGCAGTAATCCAACCTCCTCAGGCCTGTGACACTGCCTGCATTTCCTCTCTTCCAGGTGTCCTAGAATGGATGTTCGGAAAGAAAAATGCCCAATGGGTAGGGTTTATCACTAGATCAGTTCTGGAAAACAGTACAAGGTGAAGTGATTTCTTGCCTTATTATCAATTATCTCTGTTATATAACTTATTAAAATATAAAAATATTTGCCAAGCCCCAGTTTCACATCCATTGAGGTACTGTTTTGCATTTCTTAGGTGAGTCTTTGACATTTACATGAAATTATTCCTGATTTCTGTGTGCTCTGTGCTCTCTTACCAAAGCAATGAATTGGATTACTTAGAAGTACTAGAGATATCAACACTAAGGAAGATATCTAAAAAATATATTCCAAAAAATTTATACCATGTGCATAGGAAATGCTATTCAGTAAAATCTTTATATAGATGGCAATACATTGTTTCTTGTCATGGAAAAAGTAATATATAAATTGTAGTACATAATAAGCTAGAAGTTGTGGTCTGTTGATGTGTTTATAATACCAGATTGTCTTTAGCACATATTAAGTCCACAATCCTTAGACTAAATGAGCATTCTTAGCTTTTCCAGGGAATAGAAGTTGGTTGTCTTCCTTGATTATCCACTCCAGTTCTTAATAGTCCTATTTTCAAAGTTACTGCTCTCTGTGTTTCAAAAACTGTTCTCCAGTCTTGTAGTGTGTGTGTGTATGTGTGTGTGTGTGTGTGTGTACACTTTTGTTGTTTTCTTGAGGCAGGATTTAATTTATTCTGACCTGGTCTCAAACTCACTATACAGCCGATGATGACTTTGAACTCCTGATCGTTAGGCCTCTGTTTTCTGAGTGCTAGGATTAACAGACACACCACCATAGCCTAGTTTATGTGATACTATAGAGGGAGCCCAGAGTTCTGTGCATGCTAGACAAGTATTCTGCCACCTGAGCTACTGCCCCAGCCCCTCTCCAGCTCTGTAATTATAGTTCCCTTTCTTTTGTTGTTGAATAAAATGCATGGGTAGAAAGCTAGAGCCTGACTCCTGACATCTCCTTCAGATTAGGGGTTCTCCTAAAATTCCCACATACAGCTCATTGGTCCTCCTAGAAGCACTGTTCACTGCCTGTCTCTTCCTCAGCGTTTCCCATGATGCTCCCTTTTATCTAAAAATGCTTTATTTGTATCCAAGTATATAAGTATGTAAAATATGTATAAATCTCACACTTACTGTAATATAATATCAAATACTTACTGTAAATAAGTGTACTTTAAAACAGTTCTCTGTTATACATAGTATTTTACCATTCATTAAAGACAAAAGCAAATGTGCATACTAATGACATAAATAGATCTTTTATTTTATAAGAAGAATTAAATCCTGACTGTATATTTGTTACCACAGGATGTAGAGCATCTTCATCAGAATTGATTGTCATTGTTCAGAATGCCATTTTGGAAGTTCTGTCATAATCCCTAGCCAAATTTCATTTTACATTTTATTAAACTCATCAGCAACTCAAATAGTAAGTTTTAAAGCTAGAGGCTGGAGCAATGGCTGAGTGGTTAAGAGAACTTGTTCTTGTAGAGGTCCCAGCTCTGGTTCCCACCTCCCATGTGGCAGCTTACAGCCTCCTGTAACTCCAGGTCCATGAGCCTTAGGCCTTCTTCCATGGCTGTTACACATGTGCACACACACACACACACACACATGCAGGCACACACACATACACATACACACTGTAGTATTTTTAAAATCTCTAAGGAAATTCAACCGAAGGATAAACTAGTTTTATACTTCCAATTGAAGAATAACAGTCGAAAGTTATTAAAAGGGTTTTCATAATTAAGCCATTGTTTACATATGAGCAGATAACCTAAGAGGTACAGTAATTCATAACAGCGCATCTTATTCCAACTGCTGTCCTGGGTGTGAGCTGAGGTGTGGTCCAGGGCAGGACACAGTACACATTCAGAGGCAGCAGGGAGGCTACTCACGCAACTCAGGAGAGCACTCCCAGAAATGCTTCAGATTTAGTTCACATTGATGTGATTTACAACTAATTTTTGGTCACATTTTGAAAGTTTGCACATTCAGAAAACTTTTAACTATTGCTCTCTCTCTCTCTCTCTCTCTCTCTCTCTCTCTCTCTCTCTCTCTGTCCACATTTAGCTAAATAACTCCATAAGAAGCCTCAAATACCTGTTTCCCTTTAGTTCCTACAACTAAAACACAACACCCAAAATCAAATAAAAATGCTTACTTTTAAAAACGTTTCTATATAGTTATGAAGAAGCCAAGAACACACTGACCAAGAACAAGATAATGGCCCCAGCATATTTTATCCTGGGAGGCAACCGGTCCGGAGAGGGCTGTGTGATTACACGAGACAGAAAAGAGGCTTTGGATGTCTATGAGTAAGTATATTTGGTACAGCAAAATAAGTAAAAACAAGAGCCTAGGCAAATGTGAAGCCTAAGAGGGAATCTCTCTTTTTGTATCTAGACTTGATCCTAAGCATGGCAGATGGTATGTGGTACAAACCAATTATGACCGGTGGAAAAACACCTTGTTTCTTGATGACCGCAGAACACCAGCAAAGAAGTGTCTAAATCGTACGACACAGAAGGTACATTTGCATTGTCATATATAGAAAGACACTGTCCCATTAAGGATTATCTTGGTTTTGGTGTTTTTATTTGATCTTGAGGACTCTGGAAACCTATCACTATCTCTTGATACCTTATGGAGCTTTTGCTAGAGAACTTAAGGAATGGATTTTTGCTGCAATTGTCCTTCCTTACACTAGTGTCAGGTACCATTCTTTAAAGTTAAATAAATTTCAAAGCCAGAGGAGAGAGAACAAAATGATACATTAGAACTGTAGCCTTTGTTTCCAGCAGTGACTCCAAGGGAGATGGCTTTGAAAGACTGAAAGATGTTTTAGTTTTTAATGACCCATTTGTATGTGTAAATGCTACCGAAGGTCTGTGTTTAACCCACTGAACACAATTGTTTTTTTATCTTAGAATCTCTCATTTGCTACCATCTATGATATCCTATCAACAAAACCTGTCCTCAACAAGGTATTTATATACACACCCAAACACATGTACAGCTTTCAGAAAAGAATTTACATGTATGTTTTTGTGTTTCTCTCTTACCTTGGATCATTTTGAGCATGTTAGTTATGTCCAACTTCAGGTTTATTATTTGTTTATTCATCGACTCATGTTTTGAGACAGAGTCCCTGAATCCCAAAGTCAAGCCTTGAACTCACTTTGTAGCCCAGGCTGGCCTCAGACGTGGAGTCCTTCTGCCTTAGCCTCCTGAGTGCTGGGATTGCAGACAGGCACCATCCCTCTCAGCTTTAAGGTCCGGATTTTTAATAACGATTTCGAGTACCTGAAACCACGACCTTAGGAATGCAGTTAGGACACTGCTCACTCGGCAGTCCTGCCAGTGTCGGCTCAGCTTTGCTTGCATGGTATTGGACTGAGTCTAGTTTGACTTCTCTGTGTGTCAGAAATTATACACTGTATTGTTAACTAACACCTAAAGCTTGACTAGACAGAGTGTGAGGTTCATTTTCAGGTAGAGCCAGCCCTATGTCTTATCAGGGTGGGGCGTCTCTATAACTTTATGTTCTTTTATCTTTCCCTGAACTATAACCAAGAAATCTAATCAGCCCAACTGCTTCTAGTCATTCTTTGTGCAGAGACCATTGCTGGATACATTGCCCTTGACTAGCCCATTTTCTTTGTTCTTGCCTGAGTCTCCCTAAAATAAACAGGCTGTATTACCCCTGCCTTCTACAACAGAGTCCCTTTAGCATTCCCAGCCAGCCAGGGACTGCTCTCCTCATTACCTCAGTCAGGCTGCCACGCTTTGCACAGTATTTCCATATGGCGTCACAGGGGGTGCACTGGAAGGTCTGCTTGACCAGGAGGCCTGGGTGTGTGCTTTATACCGTGTGCCTACAGGGTTGTTTACTGCAATGGAACTGGGTTGAGGATAAGCATAGCCAAAGCTTGTTCTGCTCCACAGTGTACCCTTGGGCTTTACATGACTGCCAGTTACACATTGGAGAGAGTTAAATGGATCTTAAAGTGTTCACTGATTGCTATTAAATATCATTCTAAAGCAGATTCTTTGAGGGGGCACAACTGCTAATATGTACAAGAAAATCTTAGACTTGAAAATATCTTTAAAATGAAAATAACTTTTTTTTTCAGCTGACTGTATTCACAACCTTGATGGATGTTACCAAAGATCAATTTGAAAGTCACCTTCGAGATTGCCCAGACCCTTGTATAGGCTGGTGAGCACACATCAGCCAGCCTATAGGACATCCTGAGACCTGAAGATGTGTTCTGTGGCGTGCCTGCTCTCCTTCCACAGGCTAAGGCTCAAGGCCTCTTGTCTTTAGTCAGGACTGTCCTCACATGTTTCTGTTGTTTACAGACTGTTTTGTTTTTTGTTTGTTCTGATCATCATCACCATCACTTTGACTCACAGGTAAACTCTGTAAGGGATGCCATGTAGAAACTGCCAGTTCATTTCACTTAGACACTGGAAAGGGGTAACCAAGACCTCTATGGAACCCGTCCAGGTTCTCTGATGTCTAATCCAGTGCCCTGTGTGTAATGTCAAAGTCATTCACCTTTTCTTTTTTATCTACATATTTATGTTTTTCTGTATACCAGTAGTTTTCTTTTTTCCTGGTTCTCTCTTAGAACCAACATGTCATTCACCTTTGCTGTTAGTGACAGCAGTGCAATGTCACCGTGCTTGGCTAGAGTTCCTCAGATGGATATTTGATACTTATTTTAATGGCAATCAATAGACCTCTGACTCTGGAAACAGTATTTTGGAGGATTATAAAATAATTATTATACAAACAGTATTTAAAAAAAAAATAAGTGATCTCTTTTTCCTGATTATTCTGCCTGCCAGTAACTCCAGGAAGTTTCTAGCTTCAAACACTTGAGTTCAAGAACTTAGCACAAACTCATGATTTTAAATTCTTATATGTATAATCAATGTAATTTTTTCCTTCTAATCATATTTTTTTAGATTTTCATACAATATAGTATTAACAATATTTTTCAGAAATCAATGTATTTATGAAAAATGCGACCAGAGCTTGTTCATTTTTCTAACCTTCACAATTGACAGTGAAATGTATTTTGTGAAAGACTATCCAACTAGTTTTGGACAGTCTCAGCTGTGTTGTGATGTTCAATAAACAGTCACCGTGAGCCATGTCAACAGTCATGCATGCTGACTGGGTGTGTGCTTATGTTGGTTTGAGGGTGGGGGTTATTATCAAGAGATACAAGCTGAACATAATATCTAGATTAAACAACAAGGGTTATGTAAGTAGGTTACTAAACATATGACTTAAATAGTCACAATCTGCCATGACTAATACTTACCTCTTAACCCAGTAGTGTCGACCCAGTTTGCAAGTATACAAAGGCAGCTTTTCCCCTGGAGACTGCCCACAGGTGCTTCTGCAGGGCCAGCATCACCAATATTGTTTTAGAGAAGGAACAGGAATTCATGAGAGGTTTTGAATTAATGCAAGATACTAAGGTAGGCAAGGTGGTACATGACTAAAACCTGAATTTGAGAGGTGTCAGCAGAAGAATCAGAAGTTCAAGGCCAGCCTGGGATACATGAGATAGTCTTCAAAAACCAAAATAATAAAAATAGAATAAGATTCAACTAATTTAAAAAAAAACTTCCAATTTTGACCCTCTCACAAGAATGAAATGAGGTAGAACTGATCCATTTGATGATATGTAATAGGCCTTGATAGCATCTGACATTCTGATTGCTACTTAGCAGTAAGTCAATAACTTGGACTGACATTAAAACTTTAGGTAGCATTGTTTATAGGTGAAACAGTTTGTAGACAGTATACATAGTCCAAGCTTATATATACAGTGCTTTGATACGCATGCGTAATGATACGGGTGTAGACTACATACAACTAGACTACAATGTGATGACCAGAAAAGATGGTAGCCAAAATGTTGACAGCTGGTTAATGGTCAAGGAGATTAAGACTCAGATTGGACCCAAAACATAGAAAATAAGTTACTTACTAATGTTTTGGTTTTGTTTTGAAACCTTGGCTGGCTCAAACTTGTGATCTTCCTGCCTCAGTCTCCAGAGTGCTGATCCTCAGGTATGAGCCATCAAACTGGGTTTAGGAGTATGATTTGAAATGGAGTCCCACACTTAATCAGGTACTCATCAGTCCCTGGGTTCAATCCCCAGTACCTAAAAGTGGCTTACAACTGTCTGTAACTCCAACTTTAGGAGATCCGACACCCTCTTCTGGCTTTCACCAGAACCAGGCACTCATGTAGTACACATACATACACATATGCAGAGAAAAATATATACAAATAGTATTTCCCTGGAAATAAAATAGAGCTCTAGGATAGCTCATCTTGGTAACAGGTACAACACACCCAGATCTGAGTACCAGGCTTTGTAACAGAAGCAGCACTGCATGCAACAGCTTGTTTTCTGAACAAACCCGTTATGCTTGAAGGCCTACTTGACAAGGAGAAAAGTAAGGTTGAGTTGCTCAGTTACGTTAACAGGAGGGATCAGAGCTGGGATTCAAGCCAGAGGTGTCCAACTCTTGAGCTTTTATCATGACACCGGATTTCACAACTACAAGTAGCACAACAAGCAGGCCTTCCATAGGAGGCTTCTGCTTGAGCTCCTGTGGCCCAAGCCACCAGGCTGAGTGTGCCATTACTTGGGCTTTGCCATCTGCTGGCTCTTCACAAACACTTTGGCTTCTGTAGGGATCAGAAACCTTTTGAGATTAGAAACTGTTGATAATATGTTAAGAGGGCACATGATTTTCACTTCTATAAACTCAGATGTGCTTAGTTTTGGTGATTCTGAATTCAAGAATGTTAGTCTTTCTGTGACTGACACAGCACTGCATTAAAACACCAAGTTCATATTCCTTAAGTCATTGAATTGCAAAGGCCAGGCACTTGTTACTGTAGTAACAGAGTATGTGAGTCCTTATCAGTGTAAATTTATTTCCATTCACCATCTTAAAATTGTGGATGTAGGATGTGACAAGCAAATCCTAGAGTACCTAATACTGTGAGGTGTGGCTGACCCTGAGCCATCAACATAGCAACCTGGCAGCCTCTGGGAGATGTCCTCCCTCTTGGATTGAGAAAACCAGGTTCCCTAGCCAGCTGCCGCCACAGAGCAGACTGATTTGCTTGGGCAATTTTCCATGGGAATTCTACATACCATGTGGAAACTGTAATCAGACCATACAAAGATTTGCTTTGAACAATAACGTTTATCTCTCTCCAGGGTAAAAGTCAGACCAACTGACTAGTAGACAGTAGCTCTTCATGTATGTGTCCTCAGCTTGAAATGCCGTAGCTGTGGTACAGAGCATGTGGAGTACAGCATCCACGTAGCCTATCCATTGCCTTCTTAGGGGACTTGGAAGGCAAGTGGAATAGATGCAAACAGCCTATGCCTCTTGGTATGACCAGAGGCCCTAAACTCTGACCAGGAGTGCCGCCAGCCATCAGGCTGTGTGGCAGGCCAGATAAGATTAGCTTGCAAGCAGTGTCAGATCTTAAGACTCTTCATGGTTCTTGTGAACCATGTTGCACCTGTGCTACAGATGTTCCTTGATATACTGATCACTGAGCCCTTTGGAGCTGCTGGGCTAGGATTTAGGTAAGCCCTTGGGACAGCTGCCTCCTCAGAGGCTTATCTGAAAGTATGTCAAAGTGAATGATGTACATTGCCATAGAAATTATTAAGTAAACTGATGTAAATCACTTGCCCTGTTGATCAAATGGGTCTGAGCCAACTAGGTTTTTATATAGTGGAAATCTACATAAATATATCTAGCTTTCAGCTCTACCTCCTTTTTTTCTGAGGACCTCAACCTGCTGTAATGGTTATGGATCTTACTGGTAGCAGTGACACCTGAAGCTGTTGCTTCCCTAGAAAGATTGAGTAAGACCAAGCAGGTGTCTGAGACCTGGCTTTCTGCAAATGTCACCACTACAAGAACCCTATGGATCATTTAAGAGAGTTTAGGTTCCAGGTACCATGGCGCTGTGCATACAGCACTTTTGAGAAACGAGAGGTGCAGAGGCGTTAGATCCTGGTAGATTTGGCCCAGGCCACAATTAGAACCCTTGCAGCTGACATGGAAGCATCCAATTTGGTGGTTCAGACTGTTCCAAAAATCCATCTGCAGCAGGGCATAACTATCAGTAATTGACAAGAATTTAAATGTTTTTTATTTACCAGTGAAAGAAAAGCCATTGATTTTCAAATGTATTTTTAGCTTTTGAAAATTTCTTGAATGATTGTAAAATATTGCCTTATATTTTATCACATAGGTTGGGAGTGTAACTCAGTAAAGCATTTGGCTAGTATGTGTGAGGCATACCTAGGATTTGACCTCTGGCATCACAAGATGAAGGTATTTTTAAAAGAAAATGACTATCCAATACCACTAGATGGTTAAGTGACTTAGGGCCTGATAACTTTAGTTCAATCTGTGGTACCTATATGGTAGAGGAAGAGAACAATTCCATGAAGTTGTCCTCTGACTTCATGGTATATACACACACTATAATTTTAATTACCACCTGGTTATGCTTCTAAATTTATTCACAGTGCCTAAAAAAATTAATGTCAGGTTTGATAGCACATCTATGATCCTAGTATTTGAGGTCAGGAGTTCAAGGGCATTCTCAGCTACATTGCTAGTTTGAGGCCAGCCTGAGGAATATTGCGACCTAGTCTCAAAAACAAAAGAAAACTGAAGATGTCAATAAGACTCAGGTCAAGAATTGTAATAATTCTTGTTGTAATTTCAGACATAAAGTATGCTGATAGACTGGAAATTGAATATTCATTATGTAATTTCCTTTCATACTTCTCATATTCATTTCATAATTTAAAGGAAATGTAATGAATTTTTTACTATGTCCCCTCCAGTTTACCTCAGCATGTTTTATAAACATCTTATTTTTGCATGCATCGCAGAGCATGCAAACAGGAAAATGTTAGAATTCTGACTGCTTCACCAATGGGCTGACTTAATAACTGTCTTGTGGTTTCATATTTGCTGTTGGAAAATAAATGTTCAACAATGATTTTTCTGAGTTCCTTTAGGTTTAGGAATCTAGATTTAAAGTGTTTCTAAACTTTGCAGACAGTTCAACAGAAGCCAATACCTGACATGGCTCAAGACTGTTACAGTGTTATGCAGGTACATGAGTGAACCCAATAAAAATCTTGTCACGTATTTAAAGTGGTGCTGCACAATGAGCCTTTAATCCCAGAACTCAGGAGGCAGAAGCAGGTGGATCTCTGGGTTTGAGGCCAACCTGGTCTACAGACCTAGTTCCAGGGCATCCAGGGCTACACAGAGAAACAGTTTTGAAAAACTTGAAACTCAAACAAAAGGATTTATATTCTTAAAAAACCTTTTAGTACCCCTTTTATTACAGTGGTCTTAAGGTTTTGGTCTTCTGGAATATATATATTGGGAGTCACATTAGTGGGTTATTTAGTAGTGTCAAGACTATCTCAGATAGATGGGATAAATCCAATAAAATTCATTTTGCTAAATGAGTAAACCTGGACTATTATTTCCATTCTTCATATTGGTCTTTCTTAAGTGGCCATGGTATCCAGACATCAACCTGACTGATTTGAAAAACTTCCCCTTTTCCTTCAACTTTAATTAGCTTTATTTATGTGGGATTCATACTCTCTTCCTCTTCCTTCTCCTCTCCTTTTGCAGAGCTGATGATGATCATGGGACTTTGCTCATGGTAGAACTCTCCTCCTGAGACACATGCCCAAACCCTTTCATCCTCTTTAGCAGTTAAGCCTACTCTTTTCAGTCATTGTTACCAGTCATGATCAGAGTGGTAAAGCCAGTGGACAGAACTCAACCCCCATAACCAGCTGCTTTTAAAATGCAAATCAATGTTATTCTGAAATCATGAAGGGCACAGCTTGTGGGTTATTATTAGTAAAACTCCATTCACTTTTTCTAGTGACTTTCTTCTGTCTTAACCTTTTAGATTTGCTTCTAGATATGTGTGTGTATACCAGAATTTATGTGTGCCAGGTGCACGCAGATACAGAGACTAGAAGAGAGCATCCAATGTCCTGGAGCCGGAACCAGAGCTACAAGTTGTGAGCTTTCAGTGTGGGTGCTGGGAACTGAGCCCCATCCTATTCAAGAGCAGTAGGCACTCCTAACTGCTACATGTGTTCTAACCTTGCTCCCATTTAAAAAGTAATTTCCACAGTATACTTAGTACTGAGAGATTTGAAATCCTCTACCCAGACATCGCACAATTTCTCCTTCATCAGCCTGCTTCTTCACTAATTTCATAGCAGTTTTCACACACACACACACACACACACACGCACACACACACACACAAACCCAACCAACCAACTAAACAAACAAACAAACACCCTCCATGCTTGGCCTACAAACATGGACTTAAAGGGCCTGACAAATGACAGACGTCCTATTAAATCCTTGCTGCAAAACCATACAATGTTACTAGGAAGTTGATACAAAACATGTATTACAATTTTGTCCTATCCCACTGTTTAAAAAACCTAGAAACTAACAATCTGGGAAATGTCAAATAAGACAGAGAACTATAAATATAATCACTGGGCTGTGAGATGGCTCTGTGGTAAAGCTGCTTGGGACCTGACCTGAGTTCAGTCCCTGGGGCCCACAAGTAGAGAACAGACTCCTGCAAGTTGTCCTCTGACCTCTCCAGTGTTCCACCATAGTACACATGCATCCCTCCACAAAATTAACAATTTAATGTATATATACAAATATATAAATAATAACTGAATGTACATGTTCGTTTAAAAACAAGCAGATATTTTGGTTTACTACTTTAACAACACTACAGGCTATTTCCTGAGCCCCCTTTTGATCAGTCCACTCTCTGCAGTACCCTACTCAATCCAGTTTCTTCAGTGACAGGAAAACACTGAGGATAAGAGTCTTCTGACCTTAGGGTCAAAGTTGTTAAAGTCAAAGGTAGGGAGGTAGAACGGAGTTCCAGTTGCTCTGGAGAGCTTACATAAGGTGGTTTTACTCTGCCTTGTGCTAGAAGTTAGTAATTAGCAGTCAGTGGTAGGTGAGTTTACAATAACACTTCTCTTGTAGAACAAATCTGAAAAAGTGTGCTTACTCTCACATTCACACAGACTTTACTGCATCATATTCTCTTAGATATTTTCAAACCACGGAAGGTAGATTCAATCTCAAAATCCCTTTTATGTATATATCAAAGATACTTATTTTTAAAAAGCAATGCAACTAAGAAATAATGAAGTGTGTGCTCTTCACAAGAAAAATACTCTCCATTCACACCTTCGATAGTCAGTGTATCGTTATTCTTCATGTCCTGATTTCTTAACATTAAAAAATGTTAAGTCACAATTTTGGAATAAATTCTAAACTACTATGAACTTGTCAATTTAAATAAAAATGCAATTCAGAGTTTATGTAGGATATATATTTATTAACAGTGAAAAAGCATTTACCCAAAGTGAATGTTACAAAATACAGAGTACCTCCTCCACAGTCTGGGTAGTTTATTATGGTAGCATTATCTCCATCTACATAGAGTTGTATCTTATTTATTGGGATTTTTTTTTTCTCCCTCTATCACTAACCAAAGTTTTAACTTAAAATTAATACAAACAGAAATACTTTAACTTCCTTCTGAACAATACTTACTAGAACAAACATGTTACACACATTGCTTGTTCCCAATCTCTGGGTATATTAAAACTAAATTACTCACTAAAACATGAAAACAACGAGCTAGATATAGACAGCAGGTAGAACATAAGTCAGATAAACTTGTTTGACAGAGCTCACAGGTGCTATGGTAGTAGCTAACATTAAATACAGCCCATCCACTGGATACATGCAGAGAGAGCAGGAAAGGGAGGGGGAGCGCGCTGCAGTATGTAAGGCCTGGCTTGAGGATTAAAATGAAGTCTCTTGTTTTGAGCCTAGAAAAGACACAACATGTTTGTACATATAATATAAATTACTGGTCTAATGTCCCTGAAGTCTATCCAACTGGGTAAATTCTGGATTAGAAGTTTTGCAAATAAATTTTAATGAAGTTTGAGAAATCTGGTTCTAATTTAAATTAAGTAACAATACAATAAAAGTCCTCAGAAAAAATTCATCATTTGTTATTTACTGACTGGACATTTATATTAAGCTATCAAGTAAGTGATAATCTTAGTATTTATTTTGGTTTGCGAGACTTGATTTCTTTATGCAACATTGGCTGAATTCAATCTCTAGACCAGGCTGGCCTCAAACTCAGAGCTCAACCAGCTTCTGCCTCTGGAGTGCTGGGATTAAAGGCAAGTGTCACTACTGCCCAGCTGCAAGTGAGAATTTTAAAGGAATATCAAATAAGTTCTTATAGAGTATTACAGACAACTACTTAAAAATTTAAGCAAATACTTGGAATGAACAATTAGTCCTTCACACTACTACTTTTTCAAGTAAAAGTCTCCAAGATTGACATATTCATCGTTGACTGGCTCTGCAATATTACGAGAGATGGTAAGTATACAGAGAATCAGAAGGCAAAGCACTCTTTAAAAGTTGGTTTACTTAATGATGGACAACTCATGGAACACTTAAACTTGCTTCTCTCTCAAAACACACAAAAACAACTATTAGGCTTTGGTTTTAAATTATCATCTCAAAAGGCATGTTTGTCTATAAGCATTAAAAATCTTAATGTTTGTTACATAAATTTAGCTCTGTTTATCCTAACTTGTTTTTTTAATTTTAAATTAATTAGAATGATACTTGCCTGTACAGAAATACATATAAAGCTTTTTTTTTTAAATATTTAGAATGAGGCAACATAAAACAGGATTTTCAATTCTGAAAAATATTAATCTAATAGATAATTTTGTTAAGTTCTAGTTACTAACAGTGTCGAAACTCTGTACACAGTCTGAGTTGTTAACATGTTCTAAGACCACTCAGATCCCTGGTTACCTTTATAATCTGCTTTATTCTTACACAGAAGCAGGAACTATAAGAACATCAGACCCAACAGCAGCAGCACTGACATTATTTGGAAGACTGGTCTAGGGCAGAGCTTTAGAATAAGTAAGAATCAGAAGAAGTAAGAATTTCTCAAATTCTTGACCACTGCTGTTTCTGAATAGTGTTGTTACATAAAACAACAATTTGCTGCATAAAATTCAACAAAAATTTTCCAAAAGCATACTTTACAGATAAGTTTCAAACTTTATTTAAAACTACATTTTAAAGTTAACACACCAAATGTCACAATGAGGGGTGGGGGCAAGATCATAAGAAAAAATAATAATAAAAGCAAAAGAAAAATCCCACAGTGTGTCAAGGTTTGAATCTGTGCAGGATTCAGATTCTAAATGTTTTTAACTGCCATGGGCAGAAATTAGCACACCCATCAAAAATGCAGTGTCAAACTAATTTACATTTTATACAGATCAAAACAAATGTTTATTTAGTGTCTTTTTTTTTTAATGTGCTGACTATGTAAGAGAGATGAGTCTCTGAAGACATTTCATATACTCTGGGCTCCCACTGTTTCTGAAAAGAAGAATAATGATCAATGTTTTATAAATTAGTGAATTAAAATACTACTTACTAATATTTACTCTTAAAATTTTTTTCATAAAAGTTCTTATATTACATACAAGATGACAGTAAAAAAAAAATGTGAATTTAGTTCAAATCCCCTGACAAAACACACAGTGATTTGTTTCTCCATTAGAAGAAAAAGAAAGTAACTATAAAAGTGATAAAATGCAGACAAAAGAAAAGTGGCTGGAAGAAAACAGAAGAAATGCCAACAATTTCCATGAATGACTTAAGTACAGGAGGCTGTACCAAAAGAGAGCTGCACTGCAGCCCAACAGAACAGGCTGCCACTGCTCTGGATGCCATGGATTCAAATGGACAGACTGAGCTGAAAGGTAAAGTGCTGGTCTATCTAAATGTTCTTCTAATCAGCATCCCATTTCCAGAAAAACAAGGGAAAAAATCTTATATGATTTTTAACTACTGACAGAGAACAACAAAAAGAAAATCCTTTGATTTTGATACAAGGAATACTCTGAGCATATATACATATATATGTCTGTGTGTATATGAGTGTGTGTGTATGTATATATGCATATATGCATGTACATATGTATGTGTGTATATATATGTATATATATGTATATATATGTATATGTATGTATATATATATATATTTGGGAAACAAGGTATAATTATTACAATTAAAAAAGCAATGTGTTTATCTGAATAAACATATCACATAAAAATTTTTATCACATAAAAATTCATAATGTAAAAATTGGGGGTTTTACTTTATACATCAAAGGGTTAAAGGATATTTAAAACAATAAAGACAAAAACCCCCCCAAATAATGTGAACAATGACAGGAGGGGAAAATGGATCTCAATGCACACATTTTACAAGGGAGATAAAAGACATAACATGAATTTTAAGCATTAAAAAAATCATAAAGCATTAGTGTTAGCATTGCAACTAGTACTTTATTAAATGAAAGATTTTAAAAATAAAAAACACAATCTTACATAATTTGAAAAAAATCAAACACCTGAATTAATTAACAGAACATCTCTTTTTCCAATAGTAGGCTAAGATTTTCTAGGAAGTAACAGTATATTTTCAAAAACAAACTAAACTGGTAGGATCATGATTTTTCAATACAAAATTAAAATTGGTAACTTTTACCAGGTTCTTTGAGTATCTGAGAATTTCCAGCTAATTCTTCAGTCTGCATTTCACATATTTCACCAGATAAATGGTTTTTCTGTTCTTCTTCTATCATTTTCTTCCTCAGCTCTTCCTTTAGAACAAAAATTAAAAATATAATCTTCCACCTCAATATTTGTTATAAAGGCAAGCTTAGTTGAAAAGAGCTCAATACCTCTGAATAAACTGTCAGTTTGAGCGGCAAATCCTCAACTTTCACAAAGTCTTCTTCATCAGACTTTTGACTTATGTTACCAGATTCTGCTTCCTATGAAATAAGTTAGAGATAATGAAAAAAAAAAAGGCAACACCTACTTCTGTAAATCTAAATCACTCATACCAAGAAATAAAGTGGATTCTTATATAAAATGTATAGTTCACAAAACAGGGTACATATGTACTATGAACATACTGTTGAGCTTTTTTTCTCCATTGAAAAATCAGTTTACAAAGGCTGAATGAATAATTAATAGTAGTTAAAATGCTGGAAGCTAAATAATTAACCAACAATTATTTCTTTCCTCCTTCTTCCTCTTTTTTTTATTTTTTTATTTTTTTGTAGTACTGGGGATTGTACCCAGGATCTTGCATATGCTAGACAAAAGGTCTTTCACTAACCCTTACAATTTATGTTCATAGGATGCATCAGAATTATACTCAGAACATAATATTAATAAGCTTTTTAACTTACATGTTTGTTAAGGTTCTTATAGAGACACTACTTGTGAATACAGTAATTCACATCTCAATTTTTTTTCTTCAACATGAATTCTCTTTTCTCCCTAATTATCCCTTGAAATTTTTAAAGGTCTTAATGTATCAGCAACCTAAGTAGGAACCTGAGGTTGTTCTCCTTCCTCCTCCACCATCATCACCACTCACACTCCTATTCAGGTGCATACTTCCCTTTGACAACATCTTTTTTAATTTTTAAAAAATTCTTATGTGCACATGTCTGTCTGAGGATGTCAGATCCTCTGGAACTAGAGTTACAGACAGTTGTGGGCTGCAATGTAGGTGCTGGGAATGGAACCCAGATCATTTGGAACACTTAAACACTGAGCCATCTGTCCAGGTCCCAGATATCTCATACAGTCATTAATCTTCAGAGAGAACATAGCACTAATCATTTCAGTGTTTTGTGAAAACAATTTCAGCATAGATCTCTGCCTAAAAATTCAAACTCAAAAAACCTTGTAATCTAGTTTTGGGGTATTATCAATAGAAAATCTCCTATGGCAATTTTATACTCATCAAATGATAGAATAAATCAAGCTGGGTGGAGGAGCACATGACTTTAATCCTAGCACTCAGGAGCCCAAGGCAAGCAGAGGTCTGGGTTTCAGGTCAGTTTGCTGCAGGCTAGTTGGAATACAGAGATCATATCTCTCAAAGACAAACAAACAAGAGTAAGTTTGGTGGGGGGCCCATGAGATGGCTCAGCTGGCTCCCCAGACCCACACTGTGGATGAGAGAACATCCACATCAACTGCAGGACTCTGACCTTCACACATGATCCAGCACATGCTTGCTCATGCACACTCTCAACTAATTCTTAAATATAATAAATATTTTTGAAAGGGGCTAGAGAAATGACTCAGTGCTTAACCTCACTGGCTGCTCTTCTAAAGGACTCAGATTCAATTCTCAACATGGTGGCTCAGAGCCATCTGCAACTCCAATTCCAGGGGAATCCAGTGCCCACTTCTGACTTCTATGGACTCTTGAACACACATTGTGCACATGCATATTCTCAAGACACAAACACATAAAATAAATATTGCAAAAATGTTTTAAAGATTAAATCAAGCAATTTTCAGAGCTTTGAATACTTAAGTGTATACAGCACAAAAACAAAGCAGTTTAAAAGCCTAAGTTTCTACTGATGTTTGTGAAACACTACCTTTCTGGCCAATCTGTAAACTGTAACTATGAAAACATCTTTAAGAACAAAACTGATTTTAATTTTTAAAAAAGAACTGAAGTCACAGAGGCAGGAGGAACACCTAAAGTTCCAGGCTAGTCTGTCTACCTATCAAGTTCCAGATTGGCTCAATCCATATAACAAACTCAAGGAACCAAACGACAACAAAAAGAAAAGAAGAGTACACTGTACCCACTGGGGTTAAAATATGCTAAAACTTTTCACTTCTGCTAGGAAATTTTATATTAAAAATATACGACCCACACATCTGCAAAGTAACCTGTTTGCTATAACATTTAAATGAAATCAAGGCTCAGAGTAAAACTAAAGAACTTTTTATTATAAGTGTAATTCCTTAGTACATTGTTATACAATTTGCTATATAAAAATAATGACTCTGTCAAACAGGTTTCTTTCATACTCCAAATTTAAACCTGTGGGTATAACAAAGAATTTTAAAATGCTCTAAATGGCTAAGCAGTTAAAAAAAAAGGATAATGTAAGAGAGTAACTGACTTATCATGTATCGTTAGCATTTCAGATATGAGCATGAACTCTCTTAAAGCTGTCACCCAAAACTAATTTTTTGGTTTTTAAAACTATAAAAATCTTTCAGATTTTGAAATGGCCATTTAACTTATTATCATCTCTTTACTATCAAAGTAAGTTTAAAGAATAAATGTTCTGAACCTAAGCACAAAGTGGAGTTTGATTTATATATTCAATGTGTTACTCTTGAAAATGAAATATACAGACATGCAAAAGCAAGAATATGTGGAAACATAAACATTACATACATAGTCATTCACTAACACTGGAGATTCGGTATCAGGACTTCCAGCCAGAGAGCTCTCTGGAGTTTCCTGAGCAGATTTAACTTCTTTGACTCTAGGCACTAAGGTTTCATTTGCAGTCAAGGGTAACGGCACAGGGCCAGGCTGTTTAGATGAATCAGTAGTAGTGACTGAGTCCTTATGGATAGCACTATTTAAATGTTGTTCATTTTCCAAGATATTGAGATAACAAGGTTTCACAGGAGAGCTGTCTTGATCATCTGCCATTAAAAGAAAGTCTTAGCATTAGAGGAATGAAGCATTTGTTCCAATTTAGTCTGTAGCACGAAGGACCAAATATATGAATGAGAGTAATCATGACATTTAAGATCCAAAAGAAAAGATCCATATCCCCTTTCCTTACTCTTGATTCCCAAGTTAACTGAACAGATTTACCTAGAACATTTTAATTGAAAATTTTCAAGGCAAACTGTTTTAAGGCTAAAGCCCTAGAATGAATATCATTTTAAAACAAACTGAAACGAAACACATCCTTCTCATTTGTATCTAAACAATAAAACTCTGGATAAATTTTCTGTATGGTAATATTTGTCACACATCCATAAAGAGGGTTAGGGGTACTGAGCAGATAGCTTATCAATTAAAAGTACTTGCTGCTCTCACAAAGACTGGAGTTCAGGTCCCAGCAGCCACACAGGCAGTTCACCACTGTTCCAGATGATCTAGTGCCCAGAGCCCTCTTTTGGTCTCTGAGGGCACTACATCCATGTGATACATGCACATATACTTAGGTACATATACATTAAAAAAGATGAATACACAAACATGAAAATAATTGTACCAGGCAAGGGTCCCATGTCTTTAACCCCAGAATGCAGGAAACAGAAACAAGCAGATAGATCTCTCAAGTTGGAGGATAGTCTGATTTATATAGAGACCTGCCTCAAAATAAATACACACACAAACAAATACAAAAAATGGAAACTAATTGCTAGTTAGAGGCGCAATATGGGTACATGTACTTGCAATTCGATGACTCAGGAGGATAGAGGCAGGACAACTGAGGTTATCTTCAAACTCTCTAAAATGGAGTTCAAGGCCAGCTTGGGCTACATGAGGTCCTGTTTCAAAACACCATACTAAATTAAACAACAAAAATTAACCAATCAATCACTGTTATCTTACATTTTTTTCTTTTGCAAAATATTTACCAGGAGAACAAAGATAGACACCAAGTCCAAAATGCCTTTGCATGTACTTACATTAGCTACAAATGACAAATGACTGCCGGGCGGTGGTGGCGCACGGCTTTAATCCCAGCACTTGGGAGGCAGAGGCAGGTGGATTTCTTAGTTTGAGGCCAGCCTGGTCTACAGAGTGAGTTCCAGGACAGCCAGGGCTACACAGAGAAACCCTGTCTCAAAACAAACAAACAAACAAACAAACAAAAAAAAAAACCAAAACCCCCCCCCCCCCAAAAAAAAGAAAAGAAAAACGACTTTTTTAGTTTAAGGACAAAAAAGATATTTTAAAGAATCAAAGTTAGGGTTCTTTAGATTTCTTACTCTTACTAGTTGCTTCTTGGTCTGATGGTACATTTGTACTTTCTGGTGTTTTTTCAAGATCATGTTGCAGAACCTAAAAGAGAAATATGCTTTAATAGCAAGACCTTAAAATATAAGTTCCCTATAGAATAAAATAATACCGTGTGGTTTTTATCCAACCCCAGGGCTATAAAACAGGAAATGTAACAGTATCTAAAGTATTTCAAGGAGGCTTTAGTTAACAATTAAAAGATGGGTAACTAAAACCATATGCTACTTAAATAAGCACAAAATAATTTAAATGACTAGACTAAAACAGATCCTACAAGTTTTTACTATTTTTCTCGGAATCCTCTCTTAATATTAAAGGATATATTTGTAACCTTTAAGTGAAAGACACAGAAGTGAGAAAGGAGAGGAAGATGAACAAAGACACGTGCTTATAGCAGAGGGAGAAACAGAACCTGAGATTCACCCCCCAAGAGAAGTACCAGATACTAGGGAGGACTATGATGGTGCGGTATTGTTTGATGATCACAAGGAGTGGTGCTGATAGTAGCTCTAGTCTTTTAAGGAAGGATCAACTTTTAGTTTTTCATGGAAGATTACATTTTAGAGACTGGATTAGCTTCACATAAAAGGTAGAAGTAGAGGGAGGTAGAATTTAAAAAAAAAATGCATAAATAAGGACATGGTAAAAAAAAATCACATTGAAAATAAGGGTTTAGTGTAAGTCTACAAAATGATGGAATACCTACTCTATCCATTTAACTTAAGAACACCAGCAACAAAACTTCTATTATCCAACATGGAGAATGGAGAGCCTTTTTTGAAGAAACCACTCCAAGGAAAGTACCAACACAGACCAACAACTAGGACTTTCTATCAGAAAACAAGCTGTCTACAAAAAATGTCTTATAGAGAAACTCCAAGGAAACTAAGCCATTTGTTTCAAAACATGTCTATGAGTGTGTAATCTCACATATAGAGGGTATCTCTATAAATCTTAAACACTCAAGGTTCAGTAGACAGATACCTACAGCAGGAGAAACTGTATCAGGTATAGCCTCTTGGGCTAAAGTAAAGGCAGGAAAAGTCCTATTCTAATTCGTGACTAGGAGAAAAATATGAAACTTTAACTAAAAATTCAGATCTTCTAAAGTTATCCTATAGTTTTAAAACTTGTTACAAAGAAAATAAAATGCCTTAAAGAGTATTAGATATAAAATAAAACCAATGCTTCAGATTTTTTATTTTTTTATTTTTATTTTGAGACATGGTCTCCTTATATAGCTCTGCTTGGCCTTGAACTCATGAGAGATCTGCACACTTTTGATTCCAGAGTGCTGGTATTAAAGACAAATGCCATATGCCTGACATGTCTCAAATCTAAATACATATACTAATTTTTAAATAAATATTTTTTTATTCCTGAAAGTAACAATGGGAAAAAAGTATGTATACACTTTAACAGCTTTCAGAAGGCTCTTGTTTTCAGAAGCTGAAATAGGACTGGTTTGTAATAAAATACCTGACTGTCATGTTCATTTTCTTCTGTCGTTTCAGTGTTAGCCTGAAGTGAAGTCTGGACGTCTACGGGACTCTCTTCAAAGTCTTCCATTTCTTCATCCTCATTCTCATCTTCTCCACTTCCATAATTAGTTAAAGCCTGACTTTCAGCTTTAGATAGATCTAAGTTGATTACATACAAATTTTAGTTAACTCACAACTTAATCTTCAGGATTGGGGATGGGGTGTAGACAAGAGTCTCCCCGTGTTATTGGTACCAACTCCTGGACTAAATTACCACACTACTTTGGTCTCCTACTGCTGTGCATCACCACATCTACCCACTCAATTGTAAGATGGGTTACTGTCTGTTGCATCACTGAATGGCACAGGTACTTTATACACTGTATCTGAAGTACTCAAATCAGTGCACACTAGAAGCTGTGGTGCTGAATGACAAGGTAATTTAATCAGGTCACACGGATCATTCAGTCAAAATGGTGCTGGGATGCAAATCCAGAGTTTGGCACAATACTCACTGAGCCCTACAAACTTTAAGTGACCTATAGAACTCGTATGTATAAATGTTTCAAAGCCTTTAAACTTACTAATAGACACTGGACACCGTTCACTTTCTTCATCTTCCTCTTGATCAGAAACATCAGATCTTACATTTTTGGGACCTTTAGCATCATATACATCTGAAGTCTGAGTCTGCTTAACAGTTTCAGTCTCATCCTTGTCCTGTAAGCAATGCAGATAATAACTCCCTAGAGTACTTAAAGAGGTATACGTGGGAGAGCTTTCATAGTAACAATAGTCACTGTGAACTGATTGCTTTTGATATTCTAGTTTGTTTTAAAAGAAAAAACATGTTTTTTCAGAAGAAAAGAGATTTAACTACATACTTTAATTGTAAGAAAAGATAAAAACTGTTAAAATTTTGTTTTGTTCGAAAAGCATTACTGATAGATACTAATTAGCACATACTTTGTCTTCATCATCAATTTCTCCAGCAGGTGAGCCGTGATCTCCTTCAAGAATCCTTTTGGCCTAATATAATAGCAAATCAATTAAGAAGATTTTAGCAAGAACATGTTTGTAATTCTAGTTTTTCTAATCTCAATAAATAAATCAGTCTTTGTTGCCTGTCATTATCCACATCTAACCCACTAAAGACTTTAGCTTATCATTCCGTTAAAAAATTTATCATTTCTCAGTTTTACACAAATGACATACTTTATCACACCCCCTCATCATCGTCTCTTAACGTTTGGGTTTCTTTAAAAAAATGTATGTGCACTGTACGTGTCTGTGAAAATCAGAAGATAACCTCACATACTGCTCCTTGTATTCTACCTTGAGACGGTCTCATTTGGTTGTTTCCTACTATATATCTAGACAAGTTGGCTGTCAAGCTTCCAGGGATTCTCCTATCCTGCTATAGAAGTACTGAAGTTACAGGAATGCACAACCATGCCTGTGTTTTACATGGATTCTAGGGATTTGAACATGGGTTCTCATGTTAATCCGAGTCTTTTCTTTAACCACTGAGTCATCTCCCTGGCCCAGCTTAACACTTTTCTTTTAAAAAATTTTTTATTTATGTGTATGAAGCATTTATTTGTTTGTTTTTTGAGATAGTGGCTCTCTATGTATCCCTGTCCGTTCTAGAAATTACTATGTAAACCAGGCTGGCCTTGAACTCACAGAGGTCCTCATGCCTCTGTTTCCAAGTGCTGAGATTAATGGCATGCATCACCACACCCAGCTGTATGAAAGGCTTATTTACATGTATATATGTGTACCACATTCCTGGCTGGTGCCCAAGGAAGCCAGAGAAGGACTTAAGATTCTCTAGAACTGGAGTTATAGGAAGTTATGAGCCATGTGTATGCTGGGAGCTGAACCCAGGTCTTATGCAAGAGCAATAAGCATTTTGAACTTCTAAGCCACTGCTCTAAATTGTAGAGACAGAATATCTTATGTATTATATGTATAAATCACTTGTCAATTAAAAAAAATATAGCCTATAAGAAACAGTAGACTACAAGGTGGGACATCTGGGCGGCAGAGAGGATTCTGAGATAGAGTTAGGCAGAGGAGTTCACCCGGGAAGATGTGACAAGACTGACTCATGACACCTGAGCTCAGGTAAACAGCCACGTAGCAGAATGAAGATTAAAATAAATAGGTTATCTTAAGTTAGGATTCAAGTGAGAGAAGAGCCTAGCAATATGGCCAAAGTATTTTTAAATATATTTTTAGTCTGAGTCTTATTTCTAGGAGCATTAGGATAGGAGGAAGAACCAGACTTAACGTCAACTAGCTCCCTACAATTTCTAATCTGGAAAATTATGATTTATAACTGGTCTACCCAATTCCATTTCTACTCTGACAGTCCCCACTAAATATATCTAGAAAGTTATTTTAAACTTTACATGAAATAATGTTATACTACTTTAGACTTTTCCACAATGTTTAGAATAAAATGACCATATTAAGATTTCTCAAGCACTGTAACTTGGTCTTTACTACCCCCTTGACCTCACTTCCTACACTCTTACTACACCACTTTCTTTCATTAGCTTGGTTCAGGACCTACATGTACGCCAGGCAAGTCCTCTGTTCCCACTCATCATCAGCTCACATTACCATTCTCCTTAGTATACTTTTGCTTTTATGACCCAACTTTGTTCAACTGTTTGAACCTGCCTTACAATCACTAAGATGAGTTTTATTCATGATAGACTCCTGTCTTCAGGGTCATCTTCTATTTCAGGACCTGGGAGGACCTTCATGAGATTGCCTACCCAAAACAGACTGAAAGACTTCTTTCCAGGAACTTACTATGGTATTCTACTGCTTTATCTTCTCTAAGTACTTGGCAATGTTTCAAATGCATCTGTATCTAGAATAAAATCAGAAGCAATGTGGCAAAGATGGGCTATTTTAGATTCTTAGAAGAGTTTCTCTCTCTTTTTCTTTCTGGATCTTAGGCTGCTTCCCCTTTTCAAGATCAGAGGGTAAGGAAAAGGGTGCCTACTATGAAAAAGCCGCCTAATAAGCTTTACATTATAGAAAAACTAACTGATCTAACTTTGCATGCAGTCACAAGGCAGAAAAACTAGAGATAAAAAACTAAAACATCAACTTGGTCTTCATGTGGGTCCCAAACAACTGGAACAGGGACTATCCCAAAAGCTGTTGCGTATAAGTGGGATATTTCTAGTTCAGCTGCCTTGTCTGGCCTCAGTGGGAGAGGGTGTACCTAGCCTCGCAGAGATTTGATGTGCCAAGGTTGGGGGATACTTAGGGAGGCCTCCACCCTCTCAGAGGAGAAGGGAAAGGGGAGTGACAGAGAGAGTGTGGACAGTGAGCAGGATGTAAAGTGAATAAGTTAAAAAAAAATACAAAACCATAAAACCCTAGCCAATGAATACATGTATTTGTTAACTGGAAATGCCTTCTTTATGAACATATTCTTGGAAACTTTATGGCATTTGTCAACAGCTATGGTAGGAAGCTGGCCAGGAACAAGATCCCAGTTCTCCCCTCTTTGGAGCTCTTAATAAGCAATACTAAAATGAACTCACAATTCACAGTGAGCACTAATTCCTGTCTGTACTTTTAACTTGCCTTTGTGAATCCGAGGTTTGGTATGTAGACCACACTCTGATATACAATTTGACTAACTGGTTTTACTAAAAATAACTGTTCTTATTAAGGCTAAATGAGAGTTTATTTATTAATAATGGCCAACAGCTGTATTTATACACTAATGATAGCTATTCTTAAAGGCAAAGTGAAACTGACCTCTTTTGCATAAGACTGTATTACTCCAGCCGCTTCAATTTTCTTCTTGCATCTCTGCTTAACAGCTATGCTATTATTATCCAGATCTTGCATGAGCTTAAAGAAAGCCAATTCATTAAACAACACTTCAGATATCTCCACAAGAAGATCTTCTCCACAGTCTTTCAGTTTTCTGCCTGCAAATTTTGCTAGTGAATCCTGTTTAAAGTGAAAACAAATAATTTTAAGATATAGTAAACTTCAACTGTGTATAAAACAATACAGGTAACTTTAAAGGTTAAAACAGTTGCCTAGAGAAAACCAGTATTTCTAATATTTTCCATGTATATAGATATATTATTTGCTTTTTGAGATTTTACTATATTTCTCTCTTCCTTTCCTTCCCTCTAAACATACTTTTCCTTGCTCTTTCACTTTTTTTAAAATAATTATTGTCACATACTGTACTGGGTGGTGGTGTGTGTCAACCTGACACCAGAGAGGAAGGAACCTCAGTTGAGGAAATGCCTCCATGAGATTCAGCTGTAAGTGTTTTATCAATTAGTGAGCAGGGGCGGAGGGCCAGCCCATCATGGGTGGTGCCATCCTTGGGCTGGTGTTCCTGGGTTCTATAAGAAAGCAGGCTGAGGAAGCCATGTGAAAAAAGCCAGTAAGTAGGGGCTGGAGAGATGCCTCAGCAAGTAAGAGCATTCTGTGCTCTTCCAGTGGTCCTGAGTTCAATTCCCAGCAACCACATGATAACTCACAATCATCTGTAATAGGATCCGATGCCCTCTTCTGGTGTGTCTGAAGACAGCGACAGTGTATTCGTCATATAAATAAATAAATCTTTTTTTTTTTTTTTAAAGTCAGTAAACAGCACCCTTCCATGGCTTCTGTACCAGCTCCTTCTTCCAGGATTCTGCCCTGGTTGAGTATCTGTACTGACTTCCTTCAATACCTTCCTACCATCGCTGTTGACAAATAAATGAAAGTGTAAGCCAAATAAACCCTTTTCCCCCACAACTTGCTTTTGGATTATGGTGTTTCGCTGTATTAACAGAAACTCTAAATAAGACACATATATAAATGTATATGTATGTGCAGATTAATGTGTGTGTATGCACACACACATATATGTATATATTCCTAAATACATAAGTAGATCCTGTTCAAGCTGTATAATAATATTACTTGTACACTTGGTATTCTCTGCGTATGGGTAAGATCTCCTGGGGTTCCCCATATCCATATTAACATGTCTACCATGGTTGTCCTTGTTCCTAACTTTTTTTTTAAGTACTGTAAAACTTGAAATCAATAGCCATGGTGTTATAAAGACAGATTAGTATTACTATAAAATATTCTTATTACAAAGCAGGAATATTCCTAACCCCACTTAGAGTATACAACTGGGGAAGAAAAGAACATACAGTTATTTATACATACAGTAGTTACTTAATATAAACAGACTACTGATCTCCCAAAAGTTCCCAGAGAGTACATATAGGAACTATTTATGCACTATAGCAATAAGTCATTTAATATTCAGTGAGGACAGTCTTCCTCATCTACATGGTGCCAATGTTATTGTTTGTTTCTTCTTTATATCAGTCATTCTCATTGACAATTTTATTCAAAGTAAGTTTACAAGTAAGCATTAGTTTTATTCAAGTTGACATTCAGCATAGTCAAATCAACAAATGTGTTATTTTATATAAAGGATTTCCCTTTTTCTTTCTTGAAAAACTAGGAGCTATGTTACTTAGAGAAAAGGTAACTATGATGTAAACTAGCCCCAACTCCCCAGAAGAAAACAACACAAAAACACTATCTACACAACCAGAGAAAGAGAATGTATTCAGGAGGCAAAAGCAGGAGTATCCAAGTTTGAGGCCACTGTGGTCTTCAGAGTGAGTTCCAGCGCTGCAAACAAAGAGAAGTGTGCAAGCTAAGAGACTCGAAGCACAAAATGTCAGAAAAGATCTCAGAAGAAAAAATGAGAAGTCAATACTTTAAAATTAGAAGCTCACAAAAGAAAGAAAATAAAGATAGAGAGAGAGGAGGAAAGATAAGGGGAGAGAGAAAAAAGTCTAGGTAAAATTTAATTTAAATTAGCTTTTGCTCTTAACATACTTGACTCTGATGTGATAAAAATCAGGAAAGAAACAAAAGTAGTCAAATTTTCTTAGAAGGGTTGAACAAATAGTGATTAAAATGAGCTATGAATTTCTTTTGATCATATTCTAAAATAGTTATGTCTTTCTCTTAGAATAAGCTAGCTAAACTTATAAAAATTCATTACCTATAAGTTATTTTAAGTATTTTTAATACTTCAGATATTTCCTTAAGAATATCTTATTTATAATCTTTCCATTTCATGCTAATAAATCCTATTCTACAAAGTACAAGATTATTGATAAATTATAAACCTTATAAATTATATATCAACATTCTAAACAAAAGTCAGAACAACTTTGAGATTATTATTGAATTTGTGCTTTAGTCTTAATACTAACAAAATAGAAGATTAATATGAAGAAAATTAGTACCTCACTCAGATTCTAAATTAGCCAACAGGCAAAGTGATAGTACTCCACTTAACCAGTTAAAGAGACAGCTTGTGGGGTCAACTGGGCCCAAGCAATAGGATCATGGTGCTTAAATGGTTCTAGAAGGAACTGACTGGCTTAGTGTTCTGTAAGTGACTATTCAGTGTTCTGTAGGGCCTGTGAGTGATGATTAGTGATTGTTCTTAACGAAGAGTTGGGTTTTTTCAAGTCTCCAAAGGTGTAAGACAAGAGTTCTTGGATTGACTGAAGATGGCACCCAAGGGCCCTCAGAGCAGCCTAAGAGACCGACCCATGGAGGCTCTAAAAGCATATGGGCATGATATCAGAGTGCAACCGTACCAGACAAATAACATGGCATTATTAAATAGGCCAGTCAGCCCCCAGCATGGAGCCTCGGAGCCCATGCTGCTCACATTGCTGGAAAGAAGGGAGCACAAGGCACATTACTGCCTACAGGCTATAAGCACAACTGTCATGACTGGTGAAAAAACAATTTAACCTCTGAAACAGGAAGCAAAACAAAATTTCTTAGAGAACTTCACATTAAGAGAAAACTGTATTCCTGTCTCGATTTCTGATGTTCCTTCTCTCTGTTCTTCATGTGCTCCCCACCCCGTCCCACCCCAACCCCCACCCCTCCATGGCTCTGCTCCCTGTCTGCTTGTCTACATGTCCACTGTCTGCCTCTCTCTCTCTTCCCCCAGGTCCTCCTCCTCTCCCCTCCCTCAATTAACCTCCTTTTACATCAGATCTGTTGCATGACCATTCTTTCTCAGGGGTACACCTTAGCTTGAGCCCACCAAAGATAACCCGTCACTGCATTATAGTATAAACAATATTGATTACTAGAGGCTGGACAGTGTAAGAGGGAAAGAAATAAAGGAAGTGAGAAAACAGGTGTAAACAGAAGGTTCATTGTGAGCCATGGTGGCATGACCATAGATCACAGTAACGGATAACTCTCACCTACTTTATGAATATCTAAAAGAGAAGAGCTTAAAGGCCCCTAAAAAAGGTGATGAGTGAAATGCCAATTATCCAAATTTTATTAAGACACTTAGTTTAAAAACATTACTGTTATGCTCTAAGAAGTTTCTCTAATTAAAGAGGCTGTTTTCTCATGTCTAAAATTTCTCACATTATTTAAAATTAAATCAGAGCATGCTAAGCATTTCAGTCTTGAACTATTCTTATTGGTAGAATAGCAAACCAGTAAATGTAAACATATTTAGTCATGTATATGTGTACCTATCTATGTGAGTATGTCAAGTGTGTACAGATGACTTAAAAAAAAAATCAGAACAGAATGCCTAATATCTAAGCCCCGGAGCTAGAGTCACAGATAGTTGTGAGCCTCCTGACATGGGTGCTGAAAACCAAAGCCAGGTTCTTTGGAAGTGCAGCAAGTGTTCTGAACAGCTGAGACACTGCTCCAGCCCCTTTAAACCAATAATATTCTATTGAAGTTGGGATAGTCCCTGGAGATGGCCATTTTAAATGAAAATATAGAAAGTCCTCTTATCATTTTTAACTAAGTAAAGAGATAATATTAAAATGCCATCCAAACTGAGCATCAGTATGGAATACTCAATCAGTTCTATAATGTCAGAAAATGGTAAGAGCCCTAACCAAATGGAATATAGGTAACTCATACAAAAATCAACTCTTACCTGCAATATACTTCCTAGTTGTTTATGAAAGAACTTCACAAACTCTTTGCTCTCATCATTCTGTTGAGTAAGAGTCAAAACCATACGTCTTACTGAAGTGAGAAGTTGAGAAGAACATACTTCATCCATGTGCTCCTAAGAAAAATCCTAGTAGGTTAGGATATAAACTTATCTATTTAAAAAATATTAGTCTACACAATTTGAAATTCATTTCTCTTGCTTAGTTTCTCATTTTTGTGATAAAGATTTGAAAGATTCATTTGTAAGTATAACCACTCTCATAGTATACACACTAAAAGGTTTGGTGATTTTAACCCATACACCAGAAAATGACCAATAAAACAAATGTCCTGTCCCCGTACTCTTCGTCATTTCCTTTCTGTAGTAGGAAGAATTATGCATGCTGACCATCTTCCTGCATGCAGTTCAGTTCATCTCAATTACTCTTAAAATCTTATCCACCTTCTACCGAATAGGTTTCCTATTATATCTGTGGTGGTTTGAGTAAAACTGGGCCCAGCATCTCCTACAGTTGAATGCTTCGTCACCAGGGCTGAAACTCTTTGATAGGATTAGATGGTTTAGGAAGCATGGCCTTGCTGGAGAAGACTGGTACTAGGGATGGGTCTTTGAGGTTTCAAAAGCCCATGCCAGGCCCAGTATCTCTCTGCTTATGGATCAAAGCTCTCAGACTACTCCAGCACCATGCCCGCCGTGTCTTCCGTACCTATCATCACATTCCCTGTTATGATGATGACGATGGACTATCTTTCTGAAACTGTAAACATGTCCTCAATTAAATGCTTTTTCTTGTAAGAGTTGTTGTGGTATGGTGTCCTAGTAATTCTACCAGCAACACTCACCTAAACCAACAATTAAAAGTCTCTCTAGATACTATGAAATGTCTTTCTCTTTTCAAATACCACTTAAGGCAAGCCTCTTAACTGTACCATAAGAACCCTGAGAAACCCAACTGTCGTGGCATGCCTGTGATTCTAGTACTTTGAGTGTAAGACAGGAGGACTCTTGTAAGTTCTAGGCCAAGATGCTCTATCCACCAAAATTTGTCTCAAAATACCAAAACTGTGTGTGTATGTGTGTGAATTATGAAATAAACCTGAGCCCGGCTGGCTTCTCAAGGTCAAGTCTAGAATAGACTTGAAACAATCTCAAGGTTCTCCTTTTCGACTATTTAATTCATTTAAGCAGGTTCTGTCACCCTTTCTCCAGGTCAAATTCCCCTCCCCCCACTAACAATGACGTAGCCAAACCAGATGATACCAAGGGTATGGGGGGGAGGGGGGGACTGAGTGTGTGTATGTGTACCACATTTGTTCCCAGTGTCTGTGGCCAGGAAATGGCATTGAACTTGTAGACATTTGTGAAACAACATGTGGGTTCTCTTAGCCACTGATATATCTCCAACACAGGTGAACCCTATTAATAAAGCATTCTACTAGATGTACAGATGCAGACTAAGCCCAAGAACAACAGTATCTGATGTCAATACCCTTCTCTTACCAAAGACACATCATCAAGTTACATGATATTATAGGTCAAGTTTGTCTAACAGATATATCTCATGTTGCTTTGCCTAGGCTTTGTTTGTAACTTTACTGGTCTTTTACTTAGATACTCTGGTTGATAGAAGGCATGGAGTTGGATGGGTGGGGAGGTAGGGAGGATCTAGGAGGAGATGAGGGAGGGGAAAACATAAATATATTGTATGAAAAACCTATTTAAAAAAAGTAACAGGAAAAATTAAAATGAGCTTGACTGCAACACATTTTTATAGTTTTCTATATCTGGATGCAATACAAACTATGTTTTAATTTCCAAGTTTTAAAATTCCTTAGATGATTGCAACTTTAAAATTCTTATTTTAGATGAAAACGTGGGGTGTAATTTCAGGTGTAAATTCACCTCTTCATCTGACCTAGAACTCATTGTGTATACGAGGTTGGCCTCAAACTCAGAGATCTATCTGTCTATGCCTCCTGAAAACTAGAATTAACAACCACACTCAGCCATATTCCACTTTCCCATTTTTTTTCTTTGCCCTGTTAATTTTAATGGCACTATTTATAAGTAAGTCTTATATGGTCATTATTAGAAATTATATATGCTTTTTTGTATTGTTTACCTTCAAAAAAGGAATGACTTCTTTCATAATTGCTTTAATTTGACGGTCCAGTTGCCGAGTATCAATTCTAGGACAGGTGACAGCAGATATGTCACTTACAGGTTGTGGTGAACTCTGATTCTCAATAATGGGAGTTTCTATTTTTTAAGATAAAAATAATATGTCAACAAAAGCCAATGACATTATAAATAAATAAATATATATATATATATTTAAATAAGACTTTATAGAATATTATAATAATTTTATGTTAAAATAATATAAAGGAAAAATTGAATAGTTTTAAACCAAATTAAAAGAAAGCAATAACAAAACCACTAGCATTAAAAGGGGCTTAACTTTTTTTAAGCATAGGGTGGACAGTATATAGTTCAAATTGGCCCTGAATTTGCAATGTAGCCAAAACTAGGTTTAAACTCCTAAGACTCCTGCTTCATCCTCCTGAGCTCTGGGATTATAGCTATGGCTAGCTAGCTTTAGAGTTTTTATTTGCAACTCTAATTATTACTTTTAATCACACTAAAAATATACCTTCTGAATTACTGACTGTGGTAGTGGCGGCAGCACCATCTTCATCCTCAATAACCCTGCAAGTGCATCTCATATTTGAGTTACTTTCTGTCTCAGTCTTCATGCGTTCATATTCTCTCATTCTGGCTAATGCTTGATCCAAGTGAATCACAGTGTTACCTGAATTTAGAACAGAAATATTTCTAGAACATATTAAAAGCAAATCTTTTTGTATACTCTCAAAAATATAATAATAAACATAAGGAAAGAAAATTAGCTTTTTCCAAAGACCTCTTTTTATTTATGTTATGTATGTGTCTGTGTAAGTGAAATGACACATGTGTATAGGTAGCCCACTGAGGCCAGGAGAGGATGTTGGTTCCCTGGGAACTGGAGTTACAGGTAGCAGTAAACCACCTGATGTAGGTGCTGGAAACCAAATCCAGGTTCATCTGGAAGAGCAGCAAGTGCTCTTAAGTGCTGAGCCATCTCTCTAGCCCAGAATTAGATTTTAAAGTATTTCACTTACTGTACTAATCAGACACATTACCATAGTTATTTGTTTAATCCTTAAATGACCCTACAAAGGACAGCACTTAAGTAGCTTGCCTCATATTGCACAACCACCTAAGTAAAGGGATTATTACAGAATCTGAGTTTTTACCTCTAACTTTTAACTTCTTATTTTATTTTATTTACTTTCTTATTTTACTGAAAAATATGTTCAAAGGGTCTGGAGACAGAGCTCAGTGGTTAAGAAGACTAATTGCCCTTCCAGAGGTCCTGAGTTCAATTCCCAGAAACCACAAGGTGGCTCACAACCATCTGTAATGAGATCTAATACCCTCTTCTGAGGTGTGTCTGAAGACAGAGACAGTGTACTCCTATAGATAAAATTTTAAAGAAAAAAGAAAAAAAGAAGAAAAGAAAAAAAAAGAAAATATTTAGAGAAACAATTTTCAATAAATAACTAAGTAGGTGACCTCTCTCCTTAAGGTAAAATAAAGTTCAACTTAAAAAAAAACAAACCTATTATTATTCATATTTGAAAGTCTATGTTATGCTGGGCAGTGGTGGCACACGCCTTTAATCCCAGCACTTGGGAGGCAGAGGTAGGCGGATTTCTGAGGAAAGAAAATTAGCTTTTTCCAAAGACCTCTTTTTATTTATATGTATGTATGTGTCTGTGTAAGTGAAATGACACATGAGGCCAGCCTGGTCTACAGAGTGAGTTCTAGGACAGCCAGCCAGGACTACACAGAGAAACCCTGTCTCGGAAAACCAAAAAAAAAAAAAAGAAAAAGATAAAAAAGAATGAAAGTCTATGTTTTTACCAAGAACACAATAAATTAGATAAAGTCTGACTTTGTCAGCATTTGCATAGCTATAGAGAGTTCATCCTAGTTATTTCCTTATTTGATCAACTCTGCCAAGAGAGCATCTAAATCATGTGTTAGGTGAAGAAGAGAGCTCGCTTACCGAGGTCGTCTGTTGCAAACGGCTCAAAGTTGGAGGACACGGACATGACACTCACGTTGTCAGCATCATTCTGTTCATTTACTTTATGTGTTTCTCTTTCAAAGTTCTTCTCAAACGTTTCCTAAGTTAAAGAAACAATTCCTAAATACTCCTTCTAAAACTTTTCATAAACATTAAAGAAACTGTTATTTGCATAAAACCATACATTTAAAGGGGATACTAAAAAGTTGCAATGAGAACTCTACTCAGACAAGACTGCAATATAGCCCGTTATTAAAGAACCATAATAAACATTAAAATATTAAGTAATCTTGGAGAACATTTTTGCTAGATGAAAATAAGAAAGCCAACTTTCAATAAAGATTATAAACTGACAGTTAACGTTTTAAATTATCTATACATCTCATGGACACTTTATATCCTTACTGTATGTATCTCACTGTCATATCTGATGAAAAACATGACATTCATAATTTTATGAAATTACATTTTATTGGTACACTTAACATACAATAATGTATCGATTTTAAGCATATAGTTTGATGAGTTTGGACAAATGGATACACTTACACAATCAGCTTCTCTAAAGCTAAAAACCATTATCTGGATATAGTGGTTTTAGACACAGTACTTAGGAGACAGAGACAAACATATTTCTATGAGTTCAATGCCAGCCTGGTCTATATAAGGAGTTCTAAGTCAGTCAGGACTATAAAATAAGACCTTCTCCCAAACACACACACACACACACACACACACACACACACACACACACACACA